AAAATTAATATATATGTAATTTCATTCTAAGTGTATTTTGATATTAATATATTGATATCAAAATACACTTATGGAAATTATATATCTATTTATATAAATAAAAATATTAAAATTATATATATAATTATACAAATATAAATGTAGAATTTAAATATATATGTAAATATGTATATTCTACGTGTATATTTATGTAATCTTTTCACATAATTAAGTCATTGTATTTTTTAAGTTTTGAAGGAACTGTCTGACAACACAGGCAGTAAGTTCGGAAAATTTAATTTGCAAGCCCTATGATTAACCCTGTTACTTTCCAAAACACCATATAACCATATAATGGTGGGTTATATTGTACTCGAGAGACTTCGCTGAACACAAATATGAGTGTTTTCAATATAGTAAAATGTATCACGGTGGTGATATCACCAGTAAAAGAGCAGATTTTTGTGTAAAAAAAATGCAAAAACTATTATGAACACTAAATTTGCCCAGGGTTTGTGACTAAGTGGCTACTAAAAAAGACTGGACATACCCCAGTTTGAATACCTTGGGTTATCTACTTTTGCAAATGGTATGTCATCATGGGGGTAATTCTCATTCCTGGGCTACCATACAGTCTCAAAGGCAACATAACCAATCTGTCAAATTTCAATTTGCAAAAAAGGAAATGGTAAGTCTTATATTGACACTCTATGAAATTATGATTGAACAGACATATAGCTCAAATTGAAGGTTTTATTTTGATTAGAACTTTTCAAATTGGCTTCGTCAGAGGAGGCGTGGCTTGGACGCCATACTGGTTGGTCACACACTGCTTGAGCTCCGATCTAGTACTGCTTAAAAGTCGACTTTGTGGAGGATAATACCCTGTTTTCAGGCGCACCTGTCCTAGCACCCTTGCTTGCCACCCCTCGGTTGGCTCTGGAGCTAATTCCAGGTCTCCACACAGCAAATGCGGCCTCCAGCAACTCGTGGCCTGGTGAGACCCCGGCGGGTTATCCTGGTCCCCACCAGGCCCTGCTTACTTACCATTGAGCGACACCATCTCTGAAACGGTACACTCCCACATGGCCTACCCTGTTTGATGAAGAAGGAGGCATGGACAGTTACTACCCATGATAAAAACTTCAGAGGAGGACATAATGGATATCAAAAAAGCCTGAACAATTTAGAGCAAATGGTTCAGAGACTGCAAACCCAACTTTCTATACTCATCATGCTGGTTTATAACCTGGATTTAAAAAGTTGGCAGATCATTAAAATAAGGGGAGTTTCAGACTCAGTTACTGTGGAAGAATTGCCACATTTTATTAGGTGATTAGTGACTATAATGCTGCCTGCAAACTAAACCAAATAATTTATCATTGATGTCGCTTATTGCATCGCAAAGTCTCCCCATGCACCAGCTACAGAGACTTAATTCTATGCAGTCTTGCAACTTTACATTTTTCCATGACCTACATCGTGCATCTTTGCTTTGGTGGAAGTCAATGCAGAACATCACTAAGAAGCTACAGGAGGCAGGTGTTTTCTGTCGCTGGAATCTTTCCTGGTCACTCGGAGTCTCTAAAGAGGGAAAATAATATACGGCTACTAACTCAACAGAAGCGTCCACCTTTCTATTAGCCCTTGACTTGACTTAGCCCTTGACACATTAACAACAAGGAACTTTCCCCCAACCATACCTGGGATCTGGCAAACATGACTCCTTTTACCCCCAAAAAGTGCAGGACTCTGTAATGTAATTGTAAATACCTTAGTTTTCGATGAGTGTTTGTCATGTTACATTATGTTTTGCTGTTTTGCGTTATTCTTTTTTGTAAATATGATTTTTATTTGCATTGTCAATAGTAGAGAACTGTGAGACTCACAGGTCTCTATAGGCATAAGGATTATGGCAACTAGAGCACAACATGTGCTGAACGATTGTGTTGAGAAATGCGAAAAAAGTAAACCAAAACGTTTGGGCACACAGGCCCTAACTTTAAATGGACTCGTAGGTCCTTCATTTTATCATCCAGTAGCTGCTTACTAACTATTCAATTCTCGCTATGGTTTCACCTTACGGTGAGGTAGAATCATTACTGTATGACAGTGTTGTGCTAGATAGTCTAGCGAGGCCCTAGTATTGCTATCTCATCATACCGTGTTCCTGCCCTCAGTGGTCCCTAAAGATGCTGTGTGGGTAATCTCGTCTGTCCACTCAGGGTTGTCTGTTACGGTCGGGTAACTAATAGCGTTGTCCGAGGGTTGATAACAATCTGGTGTGTGCTTGTAATTATTCCGTGGACCTTTGTGTAGAGGTTCATTCAGATTTTGTGTTTTGCGTTATTCTTAACTTCTACCTCCTAATTAACTAAACTTAATTCTCTGGGAGGCGTCTGTGCCGATATTACTCCATAGTTTTCCATATGGCGTCACATTACTTTTGGGGGGGTTAGGGACTGTAGTAGAGTGAAAAGGGATATAGTAGTAAGGCATTGGGTAGTGGTGTGTTTCGGGGCTGTATTAGTGGGGTAAGGGGCTATAGTAGTGGATTTAGCGTAATATGGGTGGGTAAGGGGCTGTAGTGGCAATGGGGCTGTAGAAGGGGGTTAGAGGCTGTAGTTGGGGGGAAAGGGGCTGTAGTAATGAGGGGCTAGATAATACACTAGTTTAACTACCCACTCTTGAGGCTTAACTTGGGCCAGGGAGGGGGAGAATCCTGATCACTGGAGGCGCCGAGTGAGCCTAATTCAAGAAGTGAGACTATTGCAAGGGGCGGAGTCTATGGCGAGAGACGGAGCTTAATGCCATGATGCGCCTCTTGCTACAGAGCACCTGTGGTTGGGAAGGGGGACCGGTTGTCTTCCCTTCCAATGAGGGTAGCTGCTGTTGGGGATCTGAGCAGGCTGCCCAGCATCTTTGCAGGGCTGGTGTAGCGGTCCCACCTCCACCGGCCAACTGGACGTCTTTAGAAGACAAGTCTATCAGGTCTCTTGTTTCTGGCGCTAGGTGTGCATGCTGCCGCTGGAAAGGGAGGCCAGTTGTCTCCATTCCTGGTAACACACTCTCCCACTGGGGAGGAAGAGTGACACGCATATTTCCCTGGACTACACACTACGGAGCCAGCGTATATCCTACTCCATCAATATATGTGTTCCTTTTATTGATTAATCAATATATGTCCCTTTGTTATTTAGTGGTATGTGTACAATTAAAGTATTATTAGATGGTGCTTATGCAATTTATCTCCTTTTATGTAACACATCTACAAAACTAATATTTGTCCCTTTGTTATTTAGTGGGGTTTCCACAATTAAAGTATTATTGGTACAGTTTGCAGAATTGTACTCTATTAAAGATAATTAAGTGTACTTAATAGAAAGAGGATGAAGCAATATGGCATGCGATGAAGCTCAGGTGACATGGAGCAAAGCGTGTCACTTACAGAACATCTTGCATCATCAGAAGAGGGCCGAGAATATCCTGAGATCAGAACATTGCAGCATACCACGTACAAGATTCAGTGGAATTTAACAGTCCTGTTGTAAATGCTACTTAGCTTTTCGGTTTTCAAGTGTATATACAATAAAGTGTTTTTTAATCCTGCACAAACACATTTTCCATGCTTTCTCTCCATATATGTGGTCCTATCCATATGGACCGAGGACTTTCAGTGGGAGTCTTCCCTCTCCTCTGTTTGCACAGAGCTGGAATTATGTGGCTCGGTAGCAAATGAGGGCAATTTCAACGGGTGTCCTTTACATAAAGAGGTTTTAAAGGGTTTATCTGCACTATGGTGCACATTTTGTATGTTGTAGGTTTACCTATATATCTGAAAATGTATGTTGCAGTAATGAATTGTTGTGGCTGTGATACTGCATCTCCAGAGTAGTGTGCTTACGGTAATTTGTTATCGTCGGCTTATTGGGAATCTTGAATTTTCTTTTATGTCGCTCCACACTCCCCTCACCCTTAGTGTATCTCTTTTGACTCACCTCATCAATGTGTGTCTACATCCCCTCATACCCCTTGTCTGTCTGTTCATCCCCACTATCTTTTTTATTTGCCTTTCTGGTCACCCTCCCTACTCCATATGTCTCTCCACCCCCATCCAACCTCTAATCGTACATACAGCACATAGTTAGTTGGGTCCAGCAAAAGGGGCTGAGGAGAGAAGCTAGCCTCGACCAGGATTAAAACAAGTTCACAAAATGTATCTAATCCTCATGCATATTGTCCAAAAGAACAGAGGGAGTGAAGAACTAAAAGTCTCTCGCATCTCATGACACCTTTTCAACGACTCCTATTTGACTGCATGGGAATAAGCCTGAACATCATATACTGCTCCTGCACTCATTGCATTCTGATCAGAGCTCCCATGAAAATGACAGGACAGTCAGAGAAACAAGCCAATTCACTATTATGGTTCCACTCGGCCACACTACAAGTCATTATGTGGGGTGTTGTGTGATGTCACACATGAACAACTGTAACTCTGGGGAACAGGTATTAGACATTAGATGATATAGAAGATCTAGTCAAAAATGTTTGCAAATATTATGTGTGTAAGTCTGGTTATGAGTGATCTGCATGAAACCCTGAATACAACTCACAATATCCACCATGAATGATTTAGATTGACTGAGAAAATTAAATCAGCACATACAACATTTCTCTATTTATTGTAAAAAGAACTCATTAACGTACAAGAAATACTTAAAAGAAAACAAACTTGAAGTTTCAGAATATTACGAATTTCTGAAGGTATTATTCTATTCTTTGAGTTACTGCACTTGTTGTAAGACAACCTTAATTATCTTGGACAAAAAAAAATCTGTGCTTCTTTTGGTTTTGAAAACCGTTTGTATATTTTCAAGCTACACCTTCATGGCGCAGTGATATATTTTACCCTCTAAATATTCATCCTATGCAACAGCATATTTTTTAAGGTGTTATGCAATAGGAATGTAATGTTGGGAATCAAGGCTATGCATCACATGCGTGCTGCTAGAAGGCGTTCACGAAACAGGTTTGATCAGACCATATTCAAGACACTTAACCAGAGCATCCCTGGCCACGGCTATAATATGTAGTTTGCGGGGATCTTCCTCCTGCTTCCCAATCACTGTCAGGATTTCCAGCATTTCTGACTCTACCATTTTCTTTGCCAGTTCCTTATCTGCAGAAATGAGGTTGTTGGCAATGACCACTCCCCGGTGCTGGACATGCAAGTCTTCATTAAGACAAAGTCTCTGCAAGATCTCCATCCACTGAGACGTCTAGTAGAGGACAGATAGACAGAGAAATTATAAACATTTGTTCATCCATTTTTAAGATTTTATTGTACTGTATTTTGAGCAGGTGCATAATTTCATATAAGGCTAATACTAAAGGGAAACAATCTGTCAAAGAGTCAAACCTGGTAATCACAGGTACAGGTTTTAGAAAACAAATTTATTGAAAAGCGATAACCTAAAATGAAGTAAAATATAGCACAGGAAAAATATTGGCTAGAGAACAAGAAATTAGAAAAATTAGCAAAATAAAAGTATTATTTTCATTATTTATAAAGTGCCAACAAATTCCACAAAGCTGTACAATTTAACACTCGAAGAAATTTCGTTTAATACTAATATAGATAAAATAAAATTTTAAAAGGTTGAATTCCAATTAACAGTGTAGTCCATCAAATCAAATATGTGATACACCCAATGAAAGAAAAAACACACACTTAACTTCACTCTATTCTTATACCATATACAATTTTGATTTAAATCAATAGGTAACAAAATAGTGTTCTATCATAAAACAATTGTTATGTTAATTTAAAATAATGGAACACTCACATGTTCCAGAGCTAAAACCTAGCTTGGGAAATAGAGGCTTGTGGGTCCGTGTAGGCAACCTCTTCCTTCTTCTTATGTATATACAATCAAAATTGTATATGGAACAAGAATAGAGTGAAGTTAAGTGTGTGTGTTTTTTTCTTTCACTGAGTGTATAACATATTTGATTTGATTAGAAGCGCTCCACTGTTAATTGGTAATGAGCACATTGTTTTTTGTGTGTGTTGTTGTGAGAGCAGTGTAGCAGCTGTATTATTATATAGAGGTCATATATTATTATGTCAACCTTTGTCTTTTGACTGGCGGCAGCCATATTGGTGTACCCTATGGTCCTGCTTTGGCAGCCATCTTGGTGTACCTTTATAAACACACTACCCCCCCTTTTTTTTTTATGTATGTTACTCTAAAATGTATTAATTTTCTAACTGCACAATTGCAATGTCATAATCTCCTTCACTGCTTTGTAGTATCTTGTATTTAAAATTGTAAAAGTGTGAAGGGGCGGAGCCAACAGCTGAGCCGACTTGTCGCATCTCCAGCGTGCTCCGAGAAATAACAGCACTTAAATGGATAAAACAACGATTATCACCCCCAAAAACAGATGAAACAAGCTGAACTGCACTAGTAAACAAGGCAGCAATGGGAAAGAAAAATAAAAAACTAAAATCGGACATGCCACGACCAGGCACGAGTATTGGGGACCTATGGCGGCGAGCACATGGCACCCAAGAGCCTAACATGGCAGACTATATGGCCGACTTGGACAATTGCGACGACCAAATCTCGGCCCAAGAAGAGGTGGACTTACCCGCGGCACGAATGCCGACACAGCCCAAAACACAACCGGATGCTACTCCAGTCACGAAGGCTGAGATGCAGGAGTTACTGGCAGAACTCCGACGGAACATCCAGGCCGACATGACAGATATGAAAAAAGACATCCAGGGCCTGTCAGACCGCATGGGTGTCGTGGAGCAAGATTCTAGCAACCATACACGGCAACTGACCACACTGCAGCAGGACATAAAATCTCTACAACAGCAGCATCTGCAGGTGGAACAAAAAAATGGCGGCAAGTGAAGATTCACGGCGCGCTCAAAACATAAAGATCAGGGGAATAGCAGAGTCAGTCCCAGACACTGAATTGCCTCACATCATAAGACGCCTGGTAAGCAAAATACTCCCCCCGAAGCAGGTCAAAGGAGTAAGCCTAGATGGCGTATTTAGAATACCCAAACCAACGACAACCCCACTAGCAGGCCCCAGGGACATAATAGTTGAACTCCAAAAACGACAGGATAAAGTGGCAGTCATGTCCGCCACCAGGAAACACACCATATGCCTTTGAGGACATGTCTCTTACATTTTATGCGGGTTTGTCAAGAGGAACAATGGCATGGCGCGCAACTCTCATTATGTGCACATAATGTCAAACACCAGTGGCGCCCACCCCACAAGCTACAGGTGCTTCATGGAGAAGCTACGTACTCAATAGCCGACCTACAAGAGGCGAGAACGCACCTAGAGACCTGGGGCCTCCCACAAGACGCCCTACTGCAACCCCGCAAAACCACTAACACCCATGCATGGGACCCGGCCACCTCCGAGACGTTTGTCCCTAGAAGGTTCACCCAAGCTGCATTGTCAACGGGCCATATCTGAGGCCCCCTGTGGGCTCGAGGGACTAAACCACCAGCCCTTCACAGTGCCTTAATGTATAAAACATGGATGCAGATGAGTTTTGTCACTTTACTGTAATGCTACATAAACCCACCCCATATCAATGCCTACCAAAGCTCCACTGGTACCCCATGAAGGAGTCTGGTTACATGTTTACCTGTCCATATGTTAGTATCCCATTACACCTCGTTCACTGCATACCCTGCGCTGCCCTTAACAGGGTGGAAGCCCCACTTACTAATAGAAACAGGGATGACCGTAACCTTAGGCACTATGTCTACAAAGTATTACGATCTCGATGTAAAGTACTACGAAAATGCCTAGAGCTCGAACATATGATGCTAGATATACCCGACTGTGGAGGCTATTTAAACAGGACAGGTCCTTATGTACTGTAACACTTTGAAAAAGCCCCTTTGGGTGAAAAGCGTTGGTGTTTTTATGTTATTGGTTTTATTATCTTTGTTTTAAATAAAACAAATTTTTTTACCTTACCTGGACCTTCCTAATTTTATCGGGAGGAGCCACAGTTTCTACCTCCTTGCTGGGGAGGAAACCACCTATGCTACACAGGATTGAGCAAAAACCTAATTTTAGCTCTCCTTTTGTGAGTAAACCTCCTTTTATTTTGCTTTTATAACAACAAAACACTATTTTTATGTTTTTATTCTCATTTTATGTACTTGGTGAATATCTGTGACTTGGAGGAAAATTCCCGTGAACGCTTGACCTACAATCTACAAAGAACCAAGCTGAGCGACTTATCCACAGGCTGGGATCATACCACCCAGGTGCATATATCTGGAGCTGAACATAAGTTCCAGAAAATTGTAAGTGACATTTTTCTTATTTTACCTCACCACATATAGAATATACTACACTATATTCTGTTTTTTTGTCCTAATTTTTCCATACTTACCACCATACGAGTTTGAGGATACCCAGAGGGCGCTGCTTCCATGCAGGGCCGGACTGGCCCACTGGGATACCTGGAAATTTCCCGGTGGGCCGTCGGCACCTGGGGCCGGACAGACAGCTGTCTGTGCTGGCAGCCGCAGGGGGGAGCTGGCTGTGCTGGCGGTCACATGGGGAGCTGGTTCCTGGCTGTTCTGGCAGCCGGAGGGGGGAGCTGGCTGTGCTGGCTCTGCTCCCCCCCCCCCTCGCGCGCTACTTAATGAGACCGGAGCCAGAATATGACGTCATATTCCAGCCCCGGTCTCATTAAGCTGCGTACTGGGGAACAGAGCCAGCACAGCCAGCTCCCCCTCCAGCCGCCATAACAGCCAGGAGCCAGATTCCCCTGCGGCCGCCAGCACACCTGACCCAGCTGTCTGCCCTGCATGACTCCCTGGCCGGTCGCCCTCAGGTAGATATATTATGTGTCTGTCTGTCATGGTGTGTGTGTCTGTCTGTCTGTCATGGTGTGTGTGTCTGTCTGTCTGTCATGGTGTGTGTGTGTGTGTCTCTCTGTCATGGTGTGTGTGTGTGTGTCTGTCTGTCTGTGTCATGGTGTATGTGTCTGTGTCATGGTGTGTTTCTTTCAAGGTGTGTGTGTGTGTGTCTGTCAAGGTGTGTGTTTGTCTGTCAAGGTGTGTGTCTGTCAAGGTGTGTGTCTGTCATGGTGTGTGTCTGTCATGGTGTGTGTCTGTCAAGGTGTGTGTCTGTCATGGTATGTGTGTGTCTGTCATTGCATATGTGTGTCTGTCATGGTATGTGTGTGTCTGTCATGGTATGTGTGTGTCTGTCATTGCATATGTGTGTTTGTCAAGGTGTGTGTGTGTGTGTCATGGCATGTGTGTGTCTCTGTCATGGAATGTGTGTGTGTCTGTCATCTATCATGGTATATGTGTGTGTCTGTGTCTGTCATGGTGAATGTGTGTGTCTGTTTAAAAATACTGTTTTTACTCACTTTTTTTTCCCATGCCATGTTGCGGGGCTGGCATAGATTATTTTTCCAGGGCTGCTTTGTAGTCCCAAGGCCGGCCCTGCTTCCCTGTACTCTTTCCTGACATATACATATTTCTAGCAAGCAGCATTGCTGAGTAGGAAAAAGACCAGGGACTACAGTCTTAGGGCAAATTATGGTCCCTTCCACCTCTAATTGTTTGCTATTCAAAACGTTATCATTTGTATGTTAAATCATTACATATTTACATACTTTGTAATTTCCTAACTGGGAGGATAGAGCCATAATAATAATAATAAAAAATGTATTTAACTGGGAATGGTACATTCAGATTTCTCTGGCCCAACATCTAGGGGTTGTTACTATTACCCAATTTAGTTGTACTCATTTTATCTACCTTTTATCTACCTCGGAAGGATGAAGGGCTGAGTTGATAAGGTTTTTTTTTGGTGAAAATATACAATTTAAGTATTCAACTAACCCATTCAACTAATAATGAAATGGTACTAAACAAAAAGCCTCAAGGGGCTTGGCATAGACCCTTATTAGAGCTGAAATGCTGATAGTAGAATAAAGAATAAAGAATGTCTCTATAAAGAAGAATTGTTGGCGGCTCCCTTGTTTATGCCGAGGCACACTGGTTAAAAACCACTGCTGTAGACAAACATGTCTAATGAAAGAATAGATCATCACAGGAGATAAATCAGATAAAATTATGCAGCATAAGACAAAAGTTTAAATTCACACACAATTCACTATTTGACTATTAGTTATTATAAGTGTCCAATATAGTATGTAGTTTGCATTTTATAATTGTGAAAAGTCAATTTTTTCTATTAGGATGTTCTTACCACTTCTGTCATTTTCAGACAAAGCTTCTTTTGAGAAGATGTTAGAACGGCCAGTGCTCCTGCAGCTGCTCGCTGGAGTTTTATATCATCCTCTTCACTACACAGCAACACCACCAATTTTAGCCGGTCATTACCTTCCGCCAAGAACCTCTCCTGAACCTGTGTTATAATCAAATAAAAGGAACCTGAAGTGAAACTGCATTTTAATATACTGGTTTTGACCATTTAGAAAAGTAAAACCTAGCATTGTATAAGGTTGCCTTGCTAGTGTTACGAGAGGCTGAATGGTAGTTGAAGCTTAAACTAGACTTGTGCATTCAGTTTCAAATGAATTGTGATTCATCTGATTTTGGTTGACTGGCAGTTCTTCAAAATCTCATAACTCTGGAACACAATATGGATATATCACAAAACAAACAGATAATGGATGGATAGTTTTGTTTGTTTCATGATTTAAGATTCCATTCATGGTGCCAAAAAAAAAAAGATAGGAACTAAAAGTTGATTTTATTCACAGATTAAGTGAGAAGTGGCCAATTGAGAGGAAAAAGAGAATGAGCAGTAAAAAAAATACATCTAAATTATATAATATATTAATATAGAAATATAGAAACATAGAATGTGACGGCAGATAAGAACCATTCGGCCCATCTAGTCTGCCCAGTTTTCTAAATACTTTCATTACTCCCTGACCTTATCTTATAGTTAGAATAGCCTTATGCCTATCCCACACATGCTTAAACTCCTTCACTGTGTTAACCTCTACCAATTCAGCTGGAAGGCTATTCCATGCATCCACTACCCTCTCAGTAAAGTAATACTTCCTGATATTATTTTTAAACCTTTGTCCCTCTAATTTAAGACTCCTATGTCCTATGTCCTCTTGTTGTGGTAGTTTTTCTTCATTTAAATATAGTCTCCTCCTTTACTGTGTTGATTCCCTTTATATATTTAAATGTTTCTATCATATCCCCCGTGTCTCGTCTTTCCTCCAAACTATACATGTTAAGATCCTTTAACCTTTCCTGGTACGTTTTATCCTGCAATCAATGAACCAGTTTAGTAGCCCTTCTCCGAACTCTCTCTAAAGTATCAATATCCTTCTGAAGATACAGTCTCCAGTACTGTGTACAATACTCCAAGTGAGGTCTCACCGGTGTTCTGTACAATGGCATGAGCACTCCCCTCTTTCTACTGCTAATACCTCTCCCTATACAACCAAGCATTCTGCTAGCATTTCCTGCTGGTCTATTACATTGTCTGCCTACCTTTAAGTCATCAGAAATAATCACCCCTAAATCCCTTTCCTCAGATGTTGAGGTTAGGACTCTATAAAATATTCTGTACTCTGCCCTTGGGTTTTTACGTCCAAGATGCATTATCTTGCACTTATCCACATTAAATGTCAGTTGCCACAATTCTGACCATTTTTCTAGTTTACCTAAATCATTTGCCATTTGGCTTATCCCTCCTGGAACATCAACCCTGTTACATATCTTAGTATCATCAGCAAAAAGACATACCTTACCATCAAGACCTTCTGCAATATCACTAATAAAAATATTAAAGAGAATGGGTCCAAGTACAGATCCCTGAGGTACCCCACTGGTGACAAGTCCAAGCTTCGAATATATTCCATTAACTACAACCCTCTGTTGCCTGTCACTCAGCCACTGCCTTACCCATTCAACAATATTGGAATCCAAACTTAAAGATTGCAGTTTATTGATAAGCCTTCTATGTGCAACAGTGTCAAAAGCCTTACTGAAATCTAGGTAAGCAATGTCTACTGCACCACCCTGATCTATAATTTTAGTTACCCAATCAAAAAAATCAATAAGATTAGTTTGGCATGATCTCCCTGAAGTAAACCCATGTTGTCTCTGATCTTGAAATCCATGTGTTTTTAGATGTTCAGCAATCCTATCCTTTAACATGGTTTCCATCACTTTCCCCAGTACTGAAGTAAGGCTTACTGGCCTATAGTTGCCCGACTCCTCCCTATTATATAGAATCTGTTTTACCTTTATACCTCTAAAGATTACTTGTTCTCACTTTATCTGTGAACCAAAGGCAGGATCTATTAATATTATGTATATATTATGCAGTACACGGATTGGGCTGTTTCCTGTCATTTTAATTCATCCAAATAGATTTTCCTAAAATGACTGCATTGTTAAAAAAGCTGAAACGCCACATGGACAAATCCCGAAATGACCAACAAAATTTTTAGATACATTTTTTCACTAAGAAAAAGTCTAGCTTAAACAGATTCTAAACAACCAACGAGTGCAAGAGAAAAGGGTCCAACTAAGACAGAGATAATGAAATGCAGTTGAACATTAGGGAGAAGTACAAATATATATTTCCCCATACATATTAACATTTGTGAACATAAATAATACATCTCAAAATGATCAAATTGGGGAATAACAAGAGAGAACATGTCTGCAATACTTTGAACAATACAAGTGGAGAAACATTACTAGTTGGTAACTGATCTTTACTCAAAGCATAGTATTTAGATATCACATTCTAGACTGACCTCTTTATTCACCACTAAATTGCACATACATTCGGTGGCAGCTTGCCGGATCTGTTCATGATTTTCAAACATGTAATTCTCAATTTCTGGAAGGGCCTTCTCTTTAATAATTTTCTGCCTATTGAGATGAACATTGAAAGTGAATCCATGAAGTAATAGTAGCAGCTACGACTATCTTTTATGCTCTAATTATAATGTGCCAAAGTGGACAGGTATCTGTTAACACTTTGTGTATATATATATATATATATCTCAATGAAACTGATACAAACCTCAGCTTGTCACTCTTTGCAGCTAGGTTGGTGAGACCCAAGAGAGCTTCAAAGTTCTGCATTCCATCTCTTTCTGTGTTCAGGAGACTAACCAGAGGACGTATCACCTCGTAGACCTGAAGGAATTATAATATTCTAATAAGCATTTATGCAGCATTGATAATACAGTCCTTATTTATTCTATACTAGAAATTACCAGCTAAGGTTACTGTCTTCTAGACAGAGCATACTGGTGGTAAATCTTATGCATCCATTAGAGTCAAAAGCTAATCTTGCTAAATTAACATTAAAGGACAACTGTCACCTCAAAAACATTTTAATATAAGAATCCTTTCATCAAGTTTTGAAATCTTTTTTTTTTAAACCAAACTATTTAAAAAAAAAAACTGAGAAAAACTCATCCCGACCTTTAGTAAATGACAGGATCCTTCAGACATACATCTTGGGTCAGACATTGTTTGAATACTGACAGTTAGTCTCTATGATCTTCCCGGTTTCACTCCAGCACAGAGCCTGGGAAGACCATAGAGACTAACTGTTGGTTTTCATACACTGTCTGACCCAAAGTGTATGTATATGAAGGGCCGGCGCAACTGTTAGGCGAACTAGATATTCGATATTTCATGGTGGGCTCCCCCTGTCCTGGGCCGCAGTGCTGGGCGAGCGGCTCTAGAACCGCCCCCCTCAGCGCTGTCTGATCCTCCAGGCGCCCGAAAATAGGGGCGCCATGTGGCCACCTCAGGGCATCCCGAAAGCTGTCCCTCAGTTTCAGAGCAGGCACCTGCATACCGTGATGGCAGGTGCCTGCTCTGCCAATGAATGCCGGAGGAGAAGAGGCAGGTGGCGGTGGCGAGGGAGGCTTTTCTTGCAGTTCCCCACTCCTCCCTCGCGCGCCCTCTGTGATGCTGGGAGCCGGAATATGATGTCATTCCGGGCCCGGCATACAAAACAGCGTGCTGGAGGAGTGAGGAGCTGCCCCATACTGGAACCAGGGAGGTAAGGAGGCTGGATGTCTGAGTATGTGTGTCATTGAGTGTTTGACTGTCAGTGAGTGTGTGTATGTCTGTCTGTCAGTGAGTGTCTGTCTGTGTGTGAGTGTTTGACTGTCAGTGAGTGTGTGTATGTCTGTCTGTCAGTGAGTGTCTGTCTGTGTGTGAGTGTTTGACTGTCAGTGAGTGTGTGTGTGTGTGTGTGTGTCTGTCAGTAAGTGTATGTATTTGGGAGAAATTAATTGAAATCAAGGAGTTGTTAATGCAGTTTATATTGCACAAACAATTGTTACAAAGAGATCCAATGGAAGATTATTTCATGGGCTATCATGAGCTGTGTTAAAGGATATTCTGAACAATCAACGTGATAAATCTTGGGAGCTCAAATAAATATCATCCTCTTTCAGGTCCACTTAGCAATTAGCGAATAAACCCTGTAGATTAGTGTTTTTTCTTTATGTGGTATGGTAAATGCAAAATATATTCACAACAGCCTGATCTACTTACTCTCTCCCCTGGGAATGCTATGTCAGGGTTAGACACAGCTGCAATCTTGGCCAGACCATGAGAAGCTTTTGTTTTTCCTACATCTGTGCCTTCCAGTGCCAACGGGATCATGGCCTGTTAACAAAAAAAATGCAAGCAAAAATGTTTAGGTGCAAAATCTATCTGCATTAAAAACATATTAACAGACTGCAGTGTCTCACCCACCAGGCTGCAGACTAAAAGGTCTACAGAGAACATTACCTTGCCTCCTCCTTGAGCGACAATGGTCCCTCTATCCTTGGGATCATCACACAAGGCCAGGAAAACCCTTAAAAAGAGAATCAATAATTAATAAAACATGTTTTCATTTGTTACTTTAGGTCTATATTTTACAATCTGAAAGTGCAAGTCACGCGTTGCATCACATTTCTCAATTCACTATACCTAAATGCAAAGTCTCTCTCCTGAAGTCTGTTAATAGTATTCTTGTTATAAAGATATTTCTGATAACGTTTTGGTGGTTCTTCTATAGTTGTACTTTTGATTATAATAGTATGTGCAGGCTAGTGTTTGTTGTTCACCCACCCATTCGACAATACATTGTATAATGATACATAAACCCATATTTCCACCCAGCCCTACACAACATTGAAAAGGGAAAATAAACTCAGTATCAAAGATTAACACAAATCTTAAAACAAGGATGTCCTGAGTACTATCACTTTATTAACAGAGGTAAAAATAAAATTACTATACTTCTAATTAAAAATACCCTATTTTGTTCACTTCTTGCATGACTTTCCCTTGGGCATGTACCTAGCCAACTGTTCCTTGGTTTGATCTGTTAGGATGGCACTGTCTGCTTTCACCATGCATGCAAGGGCAGAGATTACATCAGCCTTTAGGAGCCTCTTCACACGCTTCATCACAAAGTCCTTTTTATCCTAAGAAACACAATAACACAAAGAATGATCAAAGATTATCCATCTGAGTATATCAGCACATCTTATGTGTTTCCAGGAACAGGAGATAATAGTGGGTGTAATTCTGAATCACCATATTCACTTTTACTCATATATAATGCAAGGCAACTACCATGACTGGCAACTCTAGGAACAATATGTAGGGGGGGGGCATGTAAGATACTGCAGTCAAAATTGGGAGGGGTACTAATAATTTCCACAAATAAATCATACCACTGAAAATAAATAAATGTAAATATACACAGAAACATATGCAGAGGTGTCAGATCTATAGTTTGCAAATCAGAGTAACAATGGTACTATGGGGCTTATATAAAGAGAGTTGGTGTTTTCCAAAGTTACACACAACATCTAAAATCTCCACTGTTGCAACAACAACAAACTTCAACATTTTAAAAAGTCAAACAACTGCACAAGAAGCTTTATCAGTGAAGCTCCTTGTGGCTCTGTTTAGATTTCCCTTTGTGAAAGTTTGTTGCCTTTGCATCAGTATAACATACTTGTATGGGTTTGTTATGCAATATAACAACTGGGACCATGTTGTGCAGCTAATGCACAGCTCCCTACAGCTCCATGCTAATGTTGGGGCTGGAAGTGACATCACATCCCACCTCCTGGCATCAACATGGTGTGTAAAGAAGCTATGCAAGCAGCGTAGAGTGATACCTCGGCACCTGCTTTGAAGCCTTTTGCAGAGCAGACATTTGCCACAAAGAGATGCTGATACACATTTGTTTCATTCTGTCCCTGTCAGCCCTCTTGCACTTACCTTAGTGGTCCACTGATGTCGGACAGCCGCTCCCACGCAGCATGAGGCTCCAGTCAGCCTCATGGATGCTGTCCGCTGTGCGACCTCCCCTTTTTATGACACAGTGCAAACATGCCGGCAGCATGACATCAGAAGAGCTCTAAGCAATAGTGGTCAGCACACACATACCTTTTGGGGGTATGGCTATGCTAACCACGCCCCCAACCATATAAAATCCCAGTCTGCCCAAGGCACAGTCCCCTGTTGTGGTTCCTAGTGTCACTAGTGTCCCTATAGCGCGTTCTTGTGTCGCTTTTGGTATTTATTTGGTTTTCACCCGGCTTGCTCTCGATTATTCTGTTTTCTGGCTCCCTTGACTTTGTTACCCGTTCTTGTGTATTTCTGGTTTCCCTTGACCTTGGCTTTTTCTGACGTTCATTGAAGTTTATTCTATATTCTGGCCATTCTAAGGACCGGTATAGGGACCTTCTTTGTGTCTCTATTTACTCTGGTGGGTTTTACTCTGCGTGTTGGGTTGTTTCAGTCCCCCCCTTCACTACACATCTCCATACACACATAAGCTCCCCACTACACACACATGCACACACTGCCTAATACATAAACACAGATAAACTGCATAATATATACACACATATACAAACTGCCCAATACGTGCATTCACACACACTGCCTAATACATACATTCACATTAGACATGTGCAATTAGTTTCGGGCCGAATATGAATTTGGACGAATTTCAGGCAATTCGGACATTCGGATACTTCCGAATTGCCGAAGTACTGAGGTCCCGAAGTTGCCGAATTGCCAAAGTGCCGAAGCACAGTATTGCCTAAGTACTAATATACTTACCCAGTGGAAGAAGAAAAATGTTACACTGTATACAATTTTAAATAAAAATTATACAAACATAGCCAGGATTCAGCTGTAAGCATTTGCAACAATCAAGTAACATACATTCATATAAAATGTAAGTTACTTAGCCAGTAATGACAGGAATGAATAAGTAGATAACTCCGTATTTCCCACGGTATTAGGGAGCTATCTACTAAAAGGCTGAAAGACCTAAATGGGTCTTTCAGCCAAATTTACTAATACTAAGTAAAGATTACTTAGTATTAATAAATTATGCCCCTACTCACTATACTGTGAGTAGGGGCATGTCTATTAAACAGTGAGCAGTCTATGGCTGCTCACTGTAAAAAAAAAAAAAGTCCCCCTCCTAACCTGAAGGTGGGACCTATTGCCCCCCCCCGGCCCCCACCCCTGAATGGCGGGTGTCCTCCCCCCGGCCCCCACCCATGAGCGGTGGGTGGGGGCCCTAAATACTAATTTGAGGGGGACCTAATATCCTCCCCTTGGCCCCCACCCCTAAGAGGTGGGGCCCTAAAATACTAATTAGGGGGGGAAACGAGCGCAACAAAAATAAAAATCCATCTTCACCTATCGAGGGCTCCGCGCAGATTGAGCTCTGCAGGGTGGAGGAAGGCTTATAAAGCTTTGCCCTGCCCTGCAATTAGGCTCAAAGCACTCTGATTGGTGGGTTTAAGCCATCCAATCAGAGTGCTCTGACAGGTAAATGAAGAGACTGACAGGTAAGTCAGTCCCCACTCGCCGCTCAGCGGTGGGGGCCGGTAGGAGGACAATAGGTCCCCCCCATAATTTTACTTAGGGGCCCCCACCCACCGCTCAGGGGTGGGGGACGGGGGGGGGGGAATAGGTCCCCCCCCCATTAGTTGTGTCCAACTTGTTACATTGTAGAAGCACCTCTTTATTCTGCCCAGCTCTCTGTATTGTATGAGTATATGGGAGGAGTAAAATTCTGTGGGACAAATCTGGTTCTCCATATCTTAAAACTTTACTAGCCCCCACTGCTGTCTTTTAAAGAGATAGGTCTGGTGAAAAAGTGTCCTTTGACTCCTAACAATTGTTTTAACAATTGTTGTAAATGTTGAGAGAATACCATCAAATATGGATCTTGTAGATGACTTAAATCCATTTTCACCATGTGGGTCGATCATTTGTCCACGGCAATACTAGCGCTGTATTTACCACCAATCATACCTTAGGGTGTTGCTCTGGAACATGCTGTTTGGAGAATTTAGCCAATTGTACAAGCTCAGGAATAACTTCCTTAACTTCATAGCTGTTTGTGCAGTTGACCAAGGTAGTAGCCACAGAGTAAAGGACAGTCTTATCGCTTGTCTGTAAGAAGAACATATGAATAAAAAATATAATTTATCCTGTGTAAATTCCACTCTGTGATCAAAGCAAACCCTGAAAATACATAAATGCAGGTTTTTATTACAGGTAAATTTCTAATAATATTCACAGATTTCACCAATTTCTATTTCAGCAAGGCATTTAGTGGTGGTAGGGTAGAGATTTTGTGGTCAGTAATTAATGCTCAAGAGCGAGAGAGTAGGTTAATCCACTGTAGTGATTGATATGTCATTGATATTGATATTCCTGGTTGCCTGAATTAGCCTGGCCAGTGATAGAAAGATACCTCTGATGGTATTAGCATCAGACCAGTAGGAAAAGGGAATACATAATTTACTTTTAAAAACCCTAGTTATGCCACTGCTGGTAAATCAACCATATAATTAAGGCCATATATATTCATGAATGTAGAAGTTAATCATGTATTATTGAGTTGGGAAACAAACCTTTTCTCTTTGTTAAACTTTACAGGCATGTGAGGCATTGATCACTATTTAGTGTGAGGGTTCCGGACATTGCGACCGTGAACATTGCTTGTATAACCCACATCAATGATGTCACTTAGATACAATTATGCAAGGCATCATTGCTTTTTAATTAGTAACAAAGCAAAATGTTTGATGTATACTCTACCAGACCTTAGATAGTTCGAACATGGCCCGCAGGGCTTCTTCATCTTCTACAAATTCATCCTTCACATCAGCATCTAGTGTCAAGTAAGCCAGACCTTCCACTGCCCACTTCCTGGTTTGTATGTCAATGCTCGGATTACATAACCACCTGTTAATATTAAAACACCACTGTAATAATGACACAGATAGTATAAAGACACAGTTTGTGTTATGACGGAGTATTAAGTTTTAACTAATATTAAGACAAATATAATGTTCAGAAACAGCTAGTATTAAAGCAAAGTTAGTACTAAGACACAGCTAGTACTAAGGCTAGTGTCCTGATATTAAATAGACAGTATTGGGACACTGATAACATTAAGGCAACACTAGTTTTATGACACTGCTGGTAGATACAGTGTAAGACACTATTTTCAAAATGGAATACCCACAATATTATCTCCAAATCCCACAGCTGATATAACATTTTAATAGCCTAATACACAAATAAAAAACTAAACTTATATAAACTTTATAATGTTAAGAAGAGTTGGAAAATGAAGCCAGTAAAATACAAATGTTTTTTATTTTAAACATTATCCTGGGGAGAAAAGTACTTGCTTTTATCTGATCCAAAACCTTAATTATGAGTCTATGTAAATACACTCAGATGTATCCATCATCTGGCAAAACATTGGCTGAAGTAAGCATACTACCTAAAATTTGGACTCACACGTGCTAGTACTAAAGATTGACCACTAGATGTCCCTATTTTCAACAGTGGTTAAATGCATACAATACTGTCAAATAATCAAGTCAAAACTACATTGGCAAAATAGTTTGAGCTCAGTTTACACCAGTAGTTTCCTATCACCATTATGCTAGTTCAAAGTAACGTTTAAAATTAAACCTAGTTTTTTGGTTGATTTTAGTGGCTGACATTTTTACAAACCATACTAGCTAGCCATGCTGGTTGTAACGGGTTAAATGCTTACTAACAAATAGCTAGTTCAAGAGAATCAGATTTGCTTTAAGAGGTAGTTGTTTGAGAATGTAAACAAGTGCATATATATAAGATGAAGACAAATTACGATCGCCTAATAATATTTTGTAAACTATATTAAAATGTTGAGTTACTTTGCCTACTTACTTTCTGCATTGCTTGGCGAGTTTATCTGTAGATCCCTCTGCAAACTGCCTTAAAGCGTAGTCTGTGCCACCAGCAGATCCTAGTTTGCAAAGACCCTGGAACACACAAACAAATAAGGCATACTGTTAACATTAATAATCTTTACGTTTCTATAGCTCAATATTCCTAATGTCAATAAATGAAAATATATATATATATATATATGAAACAGATATTAAATTCATTCAAGCTATTTATTTGTATTGTGTTGTTTTAGATAATCTCAGGAACTTACTTACCACCAAAGCACGTATCTTTATCTTCTCATTCTTGGTTTTCTTGTAGATCTCTTTCAACATTGACACGCCGTTAGTGATGAAGAAGGAGGCACGGCTAAGTTTGGTGGAAGCATGAATGAGAGCTTCTACAGCAACCAGCTGATCGATCTCATTCTCTGATCCAGTTAGTGCGACCATCATTTCCATCACTCCCTGCATGCTTAGGAGTTTGTTGCCAAGATCGAAAGGACCCTGCAAGATCCCCGACACAGTCTGGATGGCATGCAAGTTCTTCTCCATATTCTTTGGGTCAAAAGTCCCCCTGTTATAATTGTAACAAAATTATACAAGGCAGAAAGGTTAGATTATTAAGATTTATGAAAAAAATGCAGTTGGTTATATATAATTAGGTTTTTAAGTAGATAATATTTTTTTTCTATTATTAGCTACAATTCCAATTCTTTATATCTTTATAACGCTGACATATTCCATAGTGTTGTACAATAGGCAAAACAAGACAAAACCAGTAAATCTAACATGTTTGAGATATGTGTGGCTTATATTAAAATAACAATTTCTCCGCAACACTCTAAACGTTAAATGCTTCAAGGAAGCATTAAGATTTTAACTATAGATTTCTTATGGATCATGTATTTTTATACATCCACAAAGGTACAAACTGTGGTGTAGTAAGTGTAAAACAATAGATCTATTTACTAAACTGGGAGTTGTGGAAAATAGACAAAGCAGTGGAAAATTGTAGGACAAACTAGGTGTGCTGGAAACATAGCTGTGATGGAGATATTTTCCAGTTTGGTTTCGCTTAAAGGAAACTGTAGTGTTATTATATTTATGTAACCCAACATATTCCTTAGTGCTTTACAATTATGAAAAGGGGATATTTGTACATAGAGGAGGCCATGTTCAAACAAGCTAACAATCGATAAGGATTAACGAGAGGCAAATATAGATTATTTGGTGTCTTGCCCAAAGACACTTACTGGTAAGGTGGTCTAACCCACTGTACCTCTCCACACCAGTCTCTGCAGTGTGGACTTGCCTACCTGGCTGAATGATAATCTCAAACAATCCAATGCTTCCTATTAGGGCATTCTTCTAAAATCACTGCACTGTGCCAATCAAACTCTCTCTATGAGCAGCATTTGATTGAGAATAGAGTCTACCTCACTTCTCACAAAGTAGGTGCCTCTTGTGACTGTCAGGAAGACAACCACTAGAGGTGTATTTAACCCTGCAATGTAAGCATTGCATTTCCTCCAAAATTTTGCAACGCAGCATCAATACTCCGCACCCTGACCACTTCATTTAGATGTAGGAGTCTGGTGGCCTTTAGTGTTCCTTTAAAATGTAAAGTTCCCTTTTTGCACAAATGCCAGTTTAGTCATATACAAAACACCTGGTCAACAGAAATGTCGTGTGTAACAACTAACAGATAAATAATGAAGGTGGGAGAATCTGACACTGGAAAAAAATATAGTAAATTTAGAAAGTGAAGACTTCACTATAAACCAGGGAGTATTAGCACTAATATGTAGTTTATTTGAAAGAGATTTATTGTTGCCCACTCATCTGCTTCTCTGCATCTTAACATTTAAAGGTACACTATAGTCACCAAAACAACTTTGGCTTAACACAGCAGTTTTGGTGTGTAGATCATGCCCCTGCAGTCTCACTGTTCTATTCTCCTAAGTTAAGAAGTTAAATAACTTTAAATTATACAGTCTTAGGCACACCTCAATGCATGTGACTTGCACAGCCTCCATAAACACTTGCTGTAAAGAGAGATCTAATGTTTAAAATTCCTCTATTGCAGATTTTAATTTAGAATTTCTTATCTCCTGCTTTGTTAATAGTTTGCTAGACTTTGCAGGAGCCTCCTGTATATGATTAAAGTTCAATTTACAGAGCAAGAGAAAAAACATTCTAAAGAAAGTATACATCTGATTGAAAGTGAAATCATTTTGTTCACTGTAGGCTGAGTCACAGCCAGGGAAGGTGTGGCTATGGCTGCATTAACAGAAGCAAAAGTGATTGCACGCTTAGATGGCAGAGAATTAAGCAGTGTGACTGCAGAGGCATAAGCTATACAACAAAACTGCTTTATTAAGCTAAAGTTGTTTTGGTGGCTAGAGTGTCCCTTTAAATTAGGAGTTTTCTATTCTACCCCATTTCCTCATGGTCCATGGCTCAGCACATAATTCAATTCTACATTCATAATTTCCCTCTGACAAAATTAGATAATCTACTTCAATTTACTGACCTTGAATCCATGTGTACATCATCTAATTAAACCGTCCATGAACTGAACTAGTTGCATACTGCATCTTGCATTCTGCATTTTAGCTATATCAATATCTGTTACTCTACTGTTACTATAAGAAACACTAAAAGTATTCTAATATAAATACCTATCACTTGTTCCCAAGTTGTTTCTTTTCTCATTGACAACAGGGATTAATTGAATGACTTACGTTATATATTCTTCACAGATTGTCCTAAAGTTGTCTCTTTCTGGATCACAGCGCAAATCATCATAGAGCCTATTCACAAGAACGGATGCATTTATTCGAGTGTTCACTGTCAGTGGCAAACAATTGGGTAATTCTGGAACCTGCCCTAGTACTTTTAGTATCTTTTTTAAACCTGGAAAAAAATAAAGCCAAAATTATCTTTTGTTGATATTTTTTTATGTGCTTTGTTGACATATAACTCTTCCCTACTTGCTGAGTACAGGATCCTATGAGGCTAAAATACATGCACAATATGTTTGGCACTGATCTACAAAATGGAGGTTAGAACAATACCTACCCCTTAAAAAGGGATACTCAAAACACCAAGACAACTTATGATGGGTTCATAGCTGATGCCCCTGTTGTTAGAATAAGACAGCCACTAAAAGGCAACTCCTCAATAGCATGATGATGCTAAACTCTGTGAATTCTTCTCATAGAGAAGCAGCTGATTGGCTGATCGTGGTTATTGCCATGCATGCTCAGTAGTTTAACAATTCTTTTCAATGAGAAGCATTGCAGTGTACCATAGGTCATCTAGATAGATGAGCTCAGTAAATGAGGAGTGGCTGCTGGAAGGAGACTAAATAAAAGATGAGGCATTGTGTTCTAATTTATTTTACAGGGAAGACCAATAGTCTAAATCAGAAAGAACACTAACATTAAAAATAAATATATTTAATATATAATTTTAATGTTCCGTAAAATATATATATTGGTCTCCTTTCAATAATAAATGTAACTAACCTTAATCTGAAATTATATTGGTATGGGATGGTACAGATGACTACATAAAACATTATTACTACAGAATTAGTTTATGTTGAAATTAAACTCCGCAACATTGTTGTCAGCATATGTGAGCACATCTGATATGTTCAAAATAGGCAGCAACAGAGCTCCATTTATTCCCATTTTTCTATTTATTTTTTCTTCTCTACTTTATATGTTGTGATTTGAGACCACTTTTAGTGATCATTATATTTTCTGGTCAACAGTAATGTATATTTTAATCAAGCTAGCTTTTCCTTTATGTTTGTCACCATAAAAATGTATGATATTTACTATTGCATTTTCTGTTTTTGTACATTGTACCTGTTACCCTGTCGCATAAATAAAGAATTTAGAAAAATAAATTAAATTTGGAAATTCTGCAATTCCGCTATATTTTCAGTGGGGCCTTTTTGGCCTAAAGTCAATTCTGTGTTGTGTTTAATATTATTAAAGATTATCTAAGATTATATTAACGCAGCAGAAGAAATAATCAGAAAAAAGTCAGAGTTCATCTTTTAAACACATCTTTTTATGTTGTTGATCCAAAAGAAGGTGAAAACCCCAATTTGAAGCAATGACCAATTGTGCCATAAGGGAGAAAATTCCTTCTTGACTCCATAATGGAAGTCAGATTTTTTCTGAGACCAACAACTTGTTCCAATGCATATTAATACAAAATTTAAGCCATAATTTAAATATAGGGAAGTTTAGGTGCTCTATATGAAACCAAAAATGTGTGAGGCAGCAGTGAACCAGCAGGATTTCCCAATACCTGCTATGTAGTGAACTGAAATGTGAAAATAGGAAAGGTGGTAAACCGCGCCAAAAAATGTGTTACAGTAATAGAATTATTATATCATACATACATATGGATCTTGGTTAATACAGCATGGAAAAAATCCTTTAAAGGAGATAAAAACAGTGAAATATGTTCTAATTAATAGATGTTAAAATATGTAAAATTCTAGATGATAGGCAAACTCACACTTTGCAGAGCTGCTAAGAGCTCTGCTGTATAGAGTCTGGACTGTACAATCCCCGTCTTAGGATATGTGGATGTTGGGATGGCCAAACTCAGCAACCATATATATAGAAAAAGACAAAATACAAAATCCAATGGTACAGTATCAAAGCCAAAATTGGAATAAAAAATGTAGATATCCTACTTACAGTGTCCAGAGCAATGACTTGCTCTGCTGGTGATAACTTGTGGTGGTATGATCCCCACCAAGGAATATGTGGATATAACAGGAAACCAGGAAAGATGTAAAAGCCGGAGGATTGGATAAAAAAAGCTTAACTTTATTTCTCAAAAATAATTTAAAACATAAAAAATAGCTTCTAGTCCTTCCCTTAATTTAAAACATAAAAAATAGCTTCTAGTCCTTCCCTTAAGGAAGGGAAGGACTAGAAGCTATTTTTTATGTTTTAAATTATTTTTGAGAAATAAAGTTAAGCTTTTTTTTATTCAATCCTCTGGCTTTTACATCTTTCCTGGTTTCCTGTTATATCCACATATTCCTTGGTGGGGATCATACCACCACAAGTTATCACCACCAGAGCAAGTCATTGCTCTGGACACTGTAAGTAGGATATCTACATTTTTTATTCCAGTTTTGGCTTTGATACTGTACCATTGGATTTTGTATTTTGTCTTTTTCTATATATATATATATATATATATATATATTTATATATGGTTGTTGAGTTTGGACATCCCAACACCCACATATCCTAAGACAGGGATTGTACCGTCCAGGAGCTATACAGCAGAGCTCTTAGTTTGCCTTTCATCTAGAATTTTACATATTTTAACATCTATTAATTAGAACATATTGCACTATTATTTCACTGTTTTTATCTCCTTTGAGGTTTTTTCCATGCTGTATTAACCGAGATCCATATGCATGTATGATATAATAATTCTATTACTGTAACACATTTTTTGGCGCGGTTTACCACCTTTCCTATTTTCACATACAAGAATTTAAACTAATGAAAAGAAACAAAAACAAAACAGTTAATCCAAATCAGTAATTTGTCATTAAAATCAGCATTTCCTTGACTAAATAATATTGTGCTCAATATAACAGCAAAGCAATTCCATGTCTCACCTGTATCAATCACAAAGAGACTCTTGGAGTGGTCTTTGTCCTTGAGATTTTTGCGAGGGATATTCTTGTTGAGAAGGTTCAGTGCCTGATCTCTTCCATGCCCAGACACTTTCTTGCTTGCAAGCATATCCAGCAGGTGAGTGGTGATCATCTTCAGATCCTTCTTAGTATCTGTATGTGTTTGGAAGGACAGTTAAATGAAAGGTGCAGCTGACCTGGATATTAGTTTACTCTGTATTTGAAACAAGTCATATTTTTCATGAATATTTATACTTCTAACTATAAACACATAAAGGAACACTGTAGACACTATAACCATTTGATTTAATTGAATTGGCTATAGTGCCTGCAGTACCCTTGTGCTGTTCCCCCATACAGTGTGAAACCATTTTTGAGCAGTTTAAAACTAAATTAGTTTATTGTTCAGCCTTCACTGGACATATTAATAAGGCGGATTGAACTCTTCCTTGAGATTGTACTCTTCCTTGGTCAGCTGACACTCAACCAATCACTGCCATCCAATGATGCTCATTCTAATGCAGGGGTTCTCAACCCAGTCCTCAAGGACCCCCTACCAGTCCAGGATTTAGGGATTACCTGGCTGTGTCTGTGTTGAGAAAAAGCAAAAAAAACACCTTAGACTCTAAGGTGTTTTTTTTTTCTCAACACCTTAGACACACCCAGGTGATCCCTAAATCCTGGACTGGTAGGGGGTCCTTGAGGACTGGGTTGAGAACCCCTGTTCTAATGCTTCATTATACAATGCTTCCTGGTAAGATGCACAGATGGTGAATGCACAACTTATGCATGTTTGATCTGTGTTGGTAAAACGGCTGGTAATTTTGACCAAGCCTATTGTACGTTCAACCAGCGTGGCTATCATCACAAACTCCAGGGAGTGGTTACTTCATTAATGGATTGTTATTCTTCAGCAAACTAATGGAATGAAACACACCCCAAAGCTGTGCAAGGACTACACTGATCAGCTACAACATTAAGGCCATATGTCTAATGTCATGTTTGTCCCCCTCGTGCTGCCAAAATAATTCTGATGTGTCGAGGCATGGACTCCACAAAACCTTTGAACGTGTCCTATGGTATTTGGCACCAAGACATTAGCAGCAGATCCTTTATGCCCTGCAAGATGTGAAGTAGGGACTCCATGGATCGGATTTGTTGTTCAAACACATCCCACAGATGCTCAATCTGATTGAGATTTCGGGAATTTAGAGGCCAATGTAACACTGTGAACTCTTTGTCATGTTCCTCTAACCATTCCTGAACATTTTTTTACAGTGGCAGGGTACATTATCCTGTTGAATGAGGCCACTGCCATCAGGGAACACCACTGCAACAAAGTGGTCTGCAACAATTGCAAAGTAGGTGGTACGTCTCAAAGTAACATCCGCATGAATGCCAGGACTGAAAGGTTCCCAGCAGAACATTGCCAAAGCATAACACTACCTCCACCAGCCTGTCTTCTTCCCATAGTGCATCACATAGTCATCTCTTCCCCAGGTACATAATGCACATGCACCTGGCCATCTACCTGACCTATTTAACATGTGATTCATCAGACCAGGCATCCATCTTCCATGGTCCAGTTCTGATGCTCACATCCCCATTAAAGGCATTTGCAGCCCCATATGCAACAAGCTGTGATACATAGTGTGTTCTGACACCATTTTATCATGGTCAGCATTTGAATATGAGCTACAGTAGCTCTAATGTGATTGGAACAGAAGGGCTAGCATTTGCTCCCCATGTGCATCAATGAGCCTTGGTCGCCCCTGACTGCAGCTCACTGGTGCTCCTTCATTGCACCACTCATGATAGGTAATAACCACTGCATACCATGACCACCCCACAAGACTTGTCATTTTGGAGATGCTCTGTCATCTAGCCATCACTATTTCCCCCAAAGATCAAAGTCACTCAGATCTTTTAGCTTGACCATTTTTCCTGCTTCCAATGCTTGAAAATCAAGAACTGACTTTTTACTTGCTGCCTAATATATCCCACCCCTTGATAAGTGCTATTGTAATGATATAAAGAATGTTATTCACTTCACCTGTCAGTGGATTTAATGTTGTGGTTGATCAGTGTGTATAGTGTAGAAAAGTGAAGGGTAGCTTAATTACATGACCTGCCTTACTAGACTCCCGAACTGAATCAAAGGGAAAAGAGCAATCATTCCTCACACATAACCAAAGTTTTTGGTACCTGAAGTAGAAGAAACAGGATAACCTGTCAGGACATTATCTGCAGAAACGTACTATCCAAATGCTTTATGTTTTTTATGCTGTTATCAAATAATATACCCAATTGTTTGTTTTGTACATTGCAACATGTGTTTCCATTTTAAGAATTTCACAAAATGTACATAATCGAAAATATTTAAGAAATACTTCTGAAAATAATGCCTTAGCATCCACTACTAAATAGTTTTACACATCAAAACAGAGCTTGTTTTATTGCTGAAAAATGCAAAGAATTATACCCCAGTGCATGATATCCCAAACACAATGATGTCAATTCCGAAGGATTCATCAAATTAGGAGCCAGGTTCTCTGTGGATTCCTCTTACCTAATACCAAAGCATCTGCTTTCCCATGGTCTTTCTTATCTTCTTCTGTTAATGAATCCACAATGTTCTGCACTAGGTTGCAAGTTGCTAGTGCAATCTCTTCATTGTCTACAGCCATAATGCTGCAAATTCGGTTAAATCCAACAAGATGCAGGACAGCTGTTGCCTATATCATATAATCCAAAAATGTTACACAATGACTGAAGGACAAAAAAAAAAAATATATATATATATATTTTTCCCAATTTTGGCAATAATAATATTTACATATTTAGAGCAGCTGATCCTCCAGACCCCGAAGGCACTTTAGCCTTAGCGTGTCCTCGTTTTTAATTTAACAATAGAAATAGGCACTTTTATAAATTATCCTTGTTACACCCCCTGGCTGTCAATCTAACAACTTGCCTGTTACTTCCTGGTTTGGCTAGTTCAGTTGAACTAAACCCAAGAGACTGGAAATTGCCCAGTGCATCTGTCTTGCAAACACTTAACATTGAGCTTTGTTTAGGAAGTCTGTATTTGGAGAGCTGGGCGAAAGAGAAGGGCTTGCAAAGGATTCAGTCATGAAATCTGCAGCTCCTGCAAGCTGTTTTTAGATATAACCACAATGGAAAAAATGCATAATTAAATGGATCATGTTTTTATTGGGGGTATATAAACTAAATGGCACATTTTATTGTTTTTGTATTTGGGCAGTGGAGTGTCCCTTTAAGAACAGTAATTTAAAATAAATGTATTTATTTCCCCCGCTTTACAGAGTACATCACATGTCTAGGATCTCTGTTTATGAATGGGCCATTACAAAAAAAGGAGTTAAATAACATTTCAATGTGGATAAGTTTTCGAATTTGGTATGTTTGTTTTCCATCACAGAAAACATTGCCACAAAAAAAGCATATATTTAATAAAGTAGATATCACAGGCTCTTTACCTAAAGGTATTTCAACAATATTTACTTAGCCATTTAACAGCCAATCTCTGCTAGTTTTTGTGTCTGTATTTCATAAACCTGATATGTGCTACTCCAGTACAAAACCCCAAATTGTGTTCAGCTACGATACCCTCAATGTATGCATTTGCCACTATACTGTGAAGTCACAGTGCTATATAAGAGACCTGACTTTTCTTGGTGTTACAGTTCGAAATTTTGATAGCATTTAAATAAGGATCTCTGTCGCTGTAACTTCATGTGTCATTGGCTTGATAAAGATCTTAGTTGAGGTCAAAACATTGCTATGTTATCCAATAAACACTGGACACTTCTGTTCTTTCTACTATTGACCGAGGTCCAGCTAAGCACCTGGTCACGTCTGAAACCTCTTGATTTCTTTCATACATGCCCACTTAGATATGACTTTCGCACACTGCATATTCCATTTTGGGTCTTTAAAAGAACACTTTTGTGTTAGGAATACGAAGCTTTACTCCAAACACTAAAGTGTTCTTCTGCCCCTTCTACCCCCTGCCCTGTTAGATCTCCCCCTCTGGCAAATAAGGTGTTGAAAAAATCCTTTTACACACACCTTATGATCAGATGTCAGCGCAGAGGGGGAACCAGATGAGCATGCGTGGCACACACTCTGCAGCATTAGGCGTTCCTATAGGAAAGCACTGATTCAATGCCTTCCCATGGGCAGGGCTGGACTGGGAATAAAGAACAGCCCTCGAAAAAAAAAAATTTTTTACCAGCCCTATAATGAATCGCTTTAGTATAGCACGTAATTCAGAAGTGGAAAGAAAGACTTAACATTGAAAATTCTCCCTGCAACTTGATGGACCCCTAAAGCCCCCTTCAGCTTGCTACAGTGCTTTAGGTGTTAACTGTGTGCCCCCCAATTCATAAAATTGGTAATTTCAAGAGAAATCGTCACATTTTTTAATTAGTTTGGGAACACCCCCTTGCAGTCTGATAGCCAAATAAGGGAGCTATCTGCTAAATGGCTCCCTCATTTGGTATCCTTAAATATGCCAAATCTACATAAGGGTACCAATTTAGGGAGTTATCTATTAAACAGATGAAATGTCAAAATTAAGAAAAGCAATTCTTCATTTCATCTTTCAGCTGTTTAGTAGATAGCTGCTAATTTGTTATCCTTATTTGGGAGTACCATATTTAAAGATACCAAATTAGGGAGTTATTTACTAATCCCATACACATTCTCATACAAACATCTAATCACAGACATACTTAGCTTCCCTACCTGTGCCTGGGAGAGCTGGGATGGATCCTCTCGCTGGGGTTCAGTGGGGCTGCTGGGTTCACTGTGCTTTTCCTGCACAGTTCCCATCATCAGCTTGTAGTGATACTAATGCTGGGGTGACTTCACATACCAGCTGCTAATACACTACATGGTGTACAAGGGAACTGTGCAGAAGGAACATAGTGAGTACATATCTCCCTCGCTGCCCATTCATCCTCCTACCAGTAAATTTGTGCACCTGCCAAGTGAGAGCCCCCAAAGTGCAGGGCAGTGGCAGCCGCTTAGTTGCCATAGGCTAGCGCTGGCCCTGCTTTAGACTGTATGCCCGTGATTTTAACATCTGGATTAGGTAATATAGGTCAGTGTCAGGACTAAGTAATGCCAATTGCAATTTTTATTCAATAAATTTTTTTGTTTATACAATTTGTTTAATGCATATATACATGTTTTTTAACGCATTTGTTTTATATTAATATTTGTGTATAAATTATAAGCATAACACTCATACACATTGTGCTTATAGTATATATTCATGTAAATAGTAATATAATACATATATATTATTATATATGCATTTGTATAATACCTTCAAATATCCTGTAAACAAGTTAAAACCTTCACACTGACCCATATACACATTGACACCAACACAGACACACACGCTGGTCCATACATACATACACTGAGACATATTGACCCATCCACACATTAACACATTCAATGACCCAACACAAACAGACATACATACACATACCCATAAACAACCACCCATAAACAAACACAGACATACTGACACAGATATACTGACTCATAAACAGACACACTGACACTCATACACTGACCCATAAACAAACACAAGCACACTCACATACATATACTGACCCATAAACACAGACGCACTGACACATATACACTGACCCACAAAAACAGACACACATACACTGACCCATAAACACAGGCACACTAACTCATAAACAAATACAGACACTGACACATATATACTGACTTATAAACAAACACAGACACACTGACCCATAAACAAATACAGACACTGACATATATACACTGGCCCATAAACACAGACACATCGACACATACCTAAACAAATTGCAGAGTCTCCTTCTGCACAGTACCATTACCAGCTGCTTCCCAATGGTTTACTGGATCATCATTAGGTCTGCAGGTCTGGAGCTGGGTGAGAGCTGTCACTTCTCTCCTGCTTGCACTGATTGCCGGCCGCCGGGATAGGACGTCACTCGGTATCCCGGTGGCTTGCTGCATGTCCGTTCACTGTGAGGAGCGACTATGTTATGCCGCTCCGTGCAGCTACCCAGCAATTAAAAAGAAATACAAAAAAAACTTTTACAGCTGCTGCAGCCCCTGGCCAGCCTAAGCTTTCCCGGTCTGCAGTGGGCCAGCCCGGCCCTGCCCTGCCCATGGGGGATTTGAAGACACTGGATGTCCTCATGAAACCGCGAGAATGTCCAGCATCATTCACAGTTCACAGTTTGACTCTGTGAAACAGCTAGAAGCATCTCTAGTGGCTGTCTGGTAAACAACCACTAGAGGCAGTCTTAATCCTGCAATAGAAACATTGCAGTTTCTCTGAAACAGCAATGTTTTGTATTGCAGGGCTAAGAAGGATAGGGACACTGCACCCAGACAATTTCAATGAGATAAAGTGGTCCGGGTGCCTATAGTGTCCCTTGATGTAATAATATCATGCATCATTAAGGGGTTAATAAATGTATACAACTAAATACCATGATTTCTGTAATAAAGTTAAATATACAGTTGCTAAGAAGCTACATAAGAACAATTCTCAAAAGTACCAAAAGGTGGATCATTTCATTGGTTCCCATGGCAACTGTTCCACTTTAACAACATTGATCAAGGGGGGCACACGATTCCCCCCAGAGTAGCACTAGTTTACACATTTCTGACAGCAAAGTACTAAAGTACTAGGTCCCCACCCTAGAGTCAGGACAACCGTGTAGACTAGAGACTTACTCGCGCCCTGTGTCCAGCACACATGCCTGAAAGTGTCCTCACTGCCGAAATAACCAACTCTGGATCTTTGGTTTCCACCAGCTGCAGAAGAAGATTCACACCGTTGCTCTGAAAGATTCTTTCAGCGCCAGCATCCTCTCTGCCTAGAACTATGAGATTGTTGGCGGCCTGGAATATGGAAAAAAGACAAATAAAGGAGACTAAAGGACTAAAAGAAGTTTAAAGAAAATTATTACTAAATTATTATTACTAAACTTATATGTCTAAATAGCTTCAACGACAAAATCATGAATGTGAAATAAATTCAGTTTTATATAAATGTAGCTTTATATAAATTTTCTGAAAACCGCACAAGACCGACTGCAGATTAAAATGCATTATTTTTCTGGACTGTCCATGGCACAGGGAATGGAGGTAATCATCATGAAATTACACTGGAGTACATTCAAATATGCCCACCTTCTCTCTCTTTTCTTTTTCACTATTCGGGTCCAGTAGGATCTCAAACATCTTCTGAACCCGGGAGTCAGTTGAGAACTGTACACGAAGCTGTGTAGAGTGTAAAGCACATTAGTTAAACCTTTAAAACAAATTCTCATCTGTGTTGTTTTGCAACGGTCACTATTGTACAGATAATAGATGACTATTCTGGTATGACCCATATTTATCATGGCTCAAACAATTTGCTACTACTTTATCTTACACATATCCCTAATCTGTTCCATACGCACCATATAAAAATACGTGGAAGGAAACATAGATGATGTACAGTAAATGCACTGCGGAGAATTGATATGTTGTAATATGGTGTGTAAATCTATTAAACAGTATGTACACATGTCTATATGATCTCATTCATAGTGATGGTTCATTACAGAGCTAATTAAAGACTCTGTATGAGTGAGTATACTATGGTGTACATTATTCTATGTAAGCCATAATAGTGGAGCAATTATTTTAGAAGGAACACAATATATGTTTGGAGTAACGAGAAGAGTATTAGCAGCTAAATATGATGTCAATATAATCTTGGTAATACATTGTATAAACTTTTCTGACATTAAGCCTCTTCAGTACTGTTCTATGTTTCATAATATTGAGTTTATTAATAGCAGTTGCTTAGGACATAAGGCCCTCATCTGAGTGTGGTTTTGGGAAGTCTTTGAAACTGTCATGTATGATAGACAATGTTATATGTTAACTCACTCTAAAGAAATTTAAGAAACAATTAAACATATGAACACATCTAAATTTCATCTAAATTTAAACACAAATACCGTAACTTGAAAAGAATCCTCAAACTATTTCTGAAATCTCATAAACTGTAGAATATAAAAGTAAAACTGAGATAGCTAATTAAATTTGTGTCTGCAGCAAAATTATATTTAGCTCTTCTAACCTTTTCCTGGATGTCAGTGCCCAAGCGGTGCAGCGTCTCTCTGAATGTCCTATTGTTTGGCTCCAATGTTGCACATCTCTGAACATCCTTAAATGCTTGGTCCAATTTTCCTAGTTTCTCTAATGCCTGGCAGCGCCTATACAATGCTTTGATATCTGATCCATCCACATCTATAGCTGGAAAGAGAGCATGCAAGATTATTTGAAGATGTTTAACAAAAGGCTTCAGAAGTAATGAAATGCAATCCATCTATTTGCATTTTGTACTTAAACATGAATGAGCCATTTTACTGACATATGAACACATACCAAATAATTTTTGTACAGTGACTTTATAGCACATGCTCCCCATTGTCCCTTTTCCAATTGTTATCAAAAAAAAAAAAAAAGATGTCAGAGAATGCTTTTGATGGGAGGTTTTGAAGCATGATAACCCTGAATATTATGTTTTTGCAAGTATTCATCCAGTTGCTATCTAAACATCTGTACAGACTTATAAAAACACATCTTCAGGCAGAAAATTCCGCGTCCTTATAGCTCTTACTGTTAAAAATATAAAACCCTTATTTTGCCTTAGACTAAATCTTCTTTCTTCCAGTCTAAATGTGTGACCTTGCATCCTATGAATAGTCCTGTTTATTAATAGATTTCCAGACGATGTTTTGTTTTGGCCTGAAAATACTTCTATAATAATAAAAACTTAACCTTTCTTTTGTTTACCAACTTTTTCTAGTGCCATAATATCCTTCTTTAGAACAGGTGCCCAAAAATTGTACAGCTAAGTGTGGTCTTACCAGTGATTTATAATGAGGCAAAATTATATTTTCACCACAAAAATTAATGCCATTTTTTTTAGACGAGACATATAACCTTATTGACCTTAGCATCTGCTGATTGACATTGCACATTTTTGCCTAGTTTGCAGTTTATACCAATTCCCAGATCCTTCTTCTGTGTTGTTTTTCCTAATTCACTACCATTTAGTAAGTTGCTTGTGTATTCCTTACCCTAAAGTGCATAACTTTGCATTTTTCTATATTAAATTTGATCAGCCAACTCTCCCAATCTATCTAAATTCCCTTGCAGCAAAGTAATATCCTGCTCACATTGCATTACTTTAAAGAATTTTGTGTCATCTGCAACTACTGTCTCCTGTGTACAAGGTTGCTGATATAAAGACTGCAAACATTGAAAACAACTGGCAAGTCTACCTCCTACCCCTTAATTTACACCAGCATCCAGAATTTAGCAAGGTCTATAAAATTGTATTGTGCGTGTATTTAGATGAGAAAATATATATATCCATGATGACCATTTGACATGAACATCTAAGCTATAAGATACAGCCATAATGCAATAATGAAGAATTAACCTTACTGTTACTTGTGTAACAGCTTTCGCATTTTGTCAAGATATTTTAAACTTCATTACAAGAATAAAACCCTCGGAACTAATTTGGAAGAATCTGTGAATATTATGATCTACAACAGATGAGGGGCTACTGGCTGACAAAACGTTTCATCATAGCACTTACAGGTGGTACTCGAAAAATTAGAATATCGTGCAAAAGTTCATTTATTTAAGTAATGCAACGTAAAAGGGGAAACTAATATATGAGATAGACGCATTACATGCAAAGCAAGATGGTTCAAGCTGTGATTTGTCATAAGTGCGATGATTATGGCTTACAGCTCATGAAAACCCCAAATCCACAATCTCAGTAAATTTGAATATTACATGCAATCAATAAAACAAGGAGTGTACATAGAACAATATCGGACCTCTGAAAAGTATAAGCATGCATATGTACTCAGTACTTGGTTTTGGCCCCTTTTGTAGCAATTACTGCCACAATGCGTGGTGGCATGGAAGCTATCAGCCTGTGGCACTGCTGAGGTGTTATGGAAGACCAGGATGCTTCAATAGCAGCCTTCGGCTCTTCTGCATTGTTTGGTCTCAAGTTTCCCATCTTTCTCTTGGCAATGCCCCATAGATTCTCTATGGGGTTCAGGTCAGGCGAGTTTGCTGGCCAATCAAGCACAGTAATCCCACGGTCATTGAACTAGGCTTTGGTGCTTTTGGTAGTGTGGGCAGGTGCCAAGTCCTGCTGCAAAATCAAGTCAGCATCCTCATAAAGCTCGTCTGCGGAAGGAAGCACGAAGTGCTCCAAAATCTCCTGGTAGACGGCTGCGTTGACCCTGGACTTAATGAAGCACAGTGGACCAACACCAGCAGATGACATGGCTCCCCAAATCAACACAGACTCTGGAAACTTCACACTGGACTTCAAGCATCTTGCAGTGTGTGCACCTCCAATCTTCCTCCAGACTCTGGGTCCTTGGTTTCCAAATGAGATGCAAAAGTTGCTCTCATCAGAAAAGAGGACTTTGGACCACTGAGCAACAGACCAGGTCTGTTTTTCTTTAGCCCAGGTAAGACGCTTCTGACGTTGTTTGTTGTTCAGGAGCGGCTTGACAAGAGGAATATGATATCTGAAGCCCATGTCCAGGATCCGTCTGTGTGTGGTGGCTCTTGATACACTGACTCCAGCCCCAGTCCACTCCTTGTGAAAGTCCCCAACACATTTGAATGGCCTTTTCCTGACAATCCTCTCAAGACTGCAGTCATCCCTGCTGCTTGTGCACCTTTTTCTTCCACACTTTTCCCTTCCACATAACTTTCTATTAATGTGCTTTAATACAGCACTTTGGGAACATCCAACTTCCTTTGCAATTACGTTTTGAGGCTTTCCGTCCTTATGGAGGGTGTCAATTATGGTTTTCTGCACAACTGTCAGGTCAGCAGTCTTCCCCATGATTGTGATTCCTACTGAACCAGACTGAGAGATCATTTAAGGGCTCAGAAACCCTTTGCAGGTGTTATGGCTTACTTAGCTGATTAGAGTGGGACACTGTGAGCCTAGAATATTGCACCTTTTCACAATATTCTAATTTACTGAGATTGTGGATTTGGGGTTTTCATGAGATGTAAGCCATAATCATCGCACTTATGAAGAATCACGTCTTAAACTATCTTGCTTTGCATGTAATGTGTCTATCTCATATATTAGTTTCCCCTTTTACGTTGCATTACTGAAATAAATTAACTTTTGCACGATATTCAAATTTTTCTTGTATCAGCTGTATAAATTGCTGCATTCCATATGCTAGCTCTGAAACCATGCAAAAGGGCAGTGTCCCTGTTTAGTAAGTGTTCCACAAAAGAATAGGAAATACATGTAATGTCCATACAAGACATTGAATGTGTAAAATATCTTCTAACACAAAACATGGAAAGTAAGCAAAGGCTCAATAAGCTAAAAATTTAGTTCAGAAGACTCAATAATTCACATGTGAATACAAACCAAAAGCTGCATTATCCATAATCTTACATTGCTTGTAAAATAAAGGTACAAATTGTAAATCATACCTTTTGATGCATCTGTCGCTGCCTGTATATAGTTTTCCTATTTCAAAAGACAGAAAACAGTTGTAAAGGCTATATTTTCTATGAATTGCATACACAAATGCATCAAAGTGGCTTACCTTCAGCCAAGGAGGGCTTGTGGACAGACATACCTTTAAGTGGAAGTTCTAGACAAATCTTGTTTCAATAGTATATAAAGCGATCATTTATTAAATGCTAGATAACAATTGTTTGCGTTGTTGCTTTTAATAATAATAATAATTAAAGGGACACTATAGTCACCAGAACAACTACAGCTTAATGTAGTTGTTCTGGTGAGTATAATAGCTCCCTTCAGGCATTTTCATGTAAATACTGCCTTTTCAGAGAAAAGGCAGTGTTTACATTGCCCCTAGGGACACCTCCAAGTTCCCACTCCTTAGATGGCCACTGGAGGTGCTTCCTGGCTCAGGGTTGCACAGTAAGCAGCACTGCCGTTCAGCGTCCCCACGCTCTGCATGGAGACGCTGAATTTTCCTCATAGAGATGCATTGATTCAATGCAGCTCCATGAGGAGGTCCTGATTGGCCAAAATGGCATTTGAACCTGCCCCTGTGCTGATTTTAGCCAATCGGGAAAGCATTGGATTGGCTAAAAATCTGCCATTTTGATGATGTCACCAAAGGGGCAGAGCCATCACCGGAAGACCCGCGTGGCACTGGAAATAAGGTGTGTTTTAAACTTTTATAGGTGGGCTAAGGGGGGGCAAGCCACCTAAATGGTGGGTTTATTCTTTGAAATATGTGTGTTCATGCAAGAATAACTATAGTTGTACTGCTTACATAAAACCACATAAAAAGGAACAAGCAACACAACCAGTTGAAGAAATTCTCCTACATGCTCTTTTTGGTGCAGAGTTCTGAATCCCGCACTTGGCATGCATACTGAAAAATTTAGATAAAGGAACTTGCAAAACCACTTCAGGTCTTTAGGCATTTTGTAAGTCTCCTAATTCCAGCTATTGCCTTACCTTTTTCAGGAAGCATGCTGATCTATTACGATAGAGAACAGCCAGTATCTTCTTGTCTTTTATGAGATTTAATGCTTTGCTGTAACTTTCTATCGCCTTATCATAATCATTTGACTGGAAATACTTGTTTCCTTCTTCTTTTAGCTGAACTGGATCTTCCATCTTGTACAAGTAAATTATAAAATGAAATTAATTAGTAAAAAGTTAGGTGACACCATTTTTTGAAGAACACCACAATGTACAAACATCGTTGAATAATGCTTATGTTACAAACTGCCTATGATGAGGTTTGAGAACTTGCTCACTCTGCTAAACAAACCTGTTTGATGCTTATCTAACTGAGGACTCGCCCAAAATTTACTAAGGAATAACTTTATTGACTTTTCTTTTAATATACTTTTTTTTTAACCAATTGAAATTGGAAAATTCTCCAACTCCACTTTTTTCTATTTCAGCGATTTTGGTCACACTTTTGAATTCCCTGGTCATTTCCTTATGATTCACGGTTATTGAATAACCCTGAGCATTTCTAAAGTATTGGTACGTGGGGCATGAGTAACTCCTGGTAAAAAAAAAAGAGGTTAAAGACGTAAAGGACCACTACAGGCACCCAGACCACTTCATCTCAGTGAAAGGGTCTTGGTGCAGTGGTATTTTAGTTTTAACCCTGCAATATAAAATATTGCTATTTAGTTGCCTCTAGTGGTTGCCTTCCTGATTGAAGGAGCGCAGTACTGACCGTGTATGCGTTTTTCCTTCCCAATGCTCCTTTATAAGGGTTGGCATGACATCGTGGGAGATGGATCTTATGGCTTCTCTGATAGGATCTTGCTAAAGTGAGAATTCAAAGTAAAGTCAAAGTGAATTTCAGATTTAAAACTACAGTATCCAAACAGAAATCATAGTTGACTTGGAGATATTTTCCAGTTTGGCTTATTTGACCTTAAATTCAAAAATCACTTTGAGTTCTCAATTTAGTAGATAACCCTGATAGTATTCCTGCATCATTCCCAGTGAACGTGTTTTGATGACAACGGACAAGCAAAACCCCTCATCCATCAAATTTGACAGACACCACTGATTTAAATGGACGTTGTTTTGCACTTTACTTTAGAGTGAATCCATTCTTGTGCTGCATGTTCATCATCTCTTGGCTTTGTATGACACATTTTGTTTGTCACAGTTAGTTTAATGTGCTGTAACAATAATTAATTATAGTTAATGGTCATATGGTGTGTCTAAATAAGAGACAGCTGTACTCAGACATGTCCTAAGTACTAATCCAAATTAATATAATCATTATTATGCAATCTTTTTTTTTTTAAATTACCTTTAGGGTAACAAAACATAATCACAGACTGAAAAATAAGAACCTTGGACTAATTAGGTGAATAGAAATGAAATAAACATTTACATTTCAATTAAGCCACTGGCACAGAAATTACTTTTAAAGGCACACTCTAAACATCAAAATCACTGCTATTTAATGTAGTAGTTTTGGTGTAGAGATGCTGTCCCTTTTCTCAGACAATATAAAATATTGCTAATCACAATGGTGATATTTGACTGAAAACAAACCTAGAATGATGCAAAAGAACATGGATAATATATCCTAAACAGAAGTATTGGATTCAATCTATCTCTATGAGATGCCGGCAACTGCTACACATGTGCCAAAGGTCTGCACTGGTTCTTGATGTCAACCATTAATTTGGTCCAGATATCATTCGGATTGATTATCTTATCATGAGAGGATTGGGCTGCAGCAAGGAGTCTGCCTGTCTGAATTCAATTGAATTAGCGCTTTTAAATTTTACTTATTTAAAAGAGAGGGTACATAATCGAAAGCAGTAAAAGAACACCTCTAAAGTAAATTTTATATATATATAATTTTAAATTTTTTTTAAATGTGTTCCTTTAAGAGCTATAAAAATGGAAACTGCAAATCAGTAACAAAGCAAGATAAAGTGAATGTATCTAAGGAGGTAAATGACAGCTGACAAATACAATGCAGGGAAATAGATAAGATTACAGCTGGGACACAAAAACAAACAAAAAGTGATGATATCCAGCAATCTATGGGGCTAATGGCTCTGTGTGTTTGTCCCTTGCAGCACACATGTGACTCTACAGTCATCTTACAGCCTGTTGACCATTTATGGAGAGTGAGCTGTGACTTCAGTTCCATGTGTTTCTGCCACCTGTCACAGCTGAAATCACACAGTGTTACTCCCTCCTCCATTACAGATACACTCCTGATACAGTCTAGCAATGCCTGATTCCACCTCCAACATGCCGGCCACATTGTCAAAGTTGGGTTTACTAAGTGTCATGGACACCATATGATAAAGGTCCAAATATATTAGTAACAAAAATAAAAGTCAATCTAATGAATTACTATTTATTTTGTAGTAATGTTAAATAGGTTACTTCATTAAATGTTACTTTGTTGGCTGCGAGGCCTGTAACAATTGTACTTGTCCATTACTGAATATATATTAGATCTGTAAATGAAGGATTTTAAAACCAGGAGTTTATTAACTAAACAACAAACTTTAGAAAATTGAAGCCAAAACGTAGCGTAAAACAGCCAGACTTTTACTATAGCTATATAGGATTTTTTTTTACCTGATCAGCAATTTTTTCCTTAAAGTTACTCTCCACTTGCCAATCATACAAAAAAAGTCTTACAGTGTACGTAGCACATATGGCTCATGATGTATAAATGTCATTGTCAGCACTACAGCACATTAAGATGTTATATTCACCAGCCTGTAGTAGGCTGGTGAATAATAACATCTTAATGTGCTGTAGTGCTGACAATGACATTTATACATCATGAGCCATATGTGCTATTGTGCAGGAGTTTGATCTCTTTCAGAATCATTCATATTCATAACTTTAGAAAAAAAATATTTTTATGAATTATAATTCTCAAATTCTGAGTTTACAAACATAGGGTTATGGACATTGTATGTATATATATATATATATATTACAGCATATCTGTGTTTCATGATGTGAGCTTATGCTCATAGTTATCCACTAAAATGTAAAATTGTTGCAAATTCGAAAGAGTAGATTTATTAAAATAAGAACTCTTGGGAATTCAAAAAGAATTAAAAGTTTAACGACAAAATAGCAGAATTCTAAAAAATCAGCAATGTTTCTAGTACAACTATTTTGATGTAAAATTTCAATTCATATTAAATTTTCAACAATTCTCACTTTATTAAATATATCCTATAGCGAATTTCAAATTTTAGACCAAAAGCCAACCTTAAAATAATAGCTAATGTTTTCCAATTTTGGCTATGGTATTCTAATTTTTTAAATTCACTTTGAACATGTTGAATTCTTGGCAATTCGTACTTTAGTGGATAGTCCAAACTCTGTTAATCACTAAACCAGCAATTGTCAGGAGACTGTAATATTAAGGTCTACTAGAAAAAAAACAGTGAAAATGAATTCAGTTATATTTACTTAGAGGGTTATTCACTAAAGTATAAATTGCCAGAAATTCAAAGTTTATATCAGAGTTTTGCCAAAATAGCCACTGAAACCATAACTAAAGCCACGACTGCCTTGAAAAATCTGTTAAGTTTACACTGTAGCGAATAACCCTGAAAGTTGGTCATTGTGGAAAATTAACAAAAAAAATAAGTTGAACATTTTAGGCCAAAATATCTTAACTGGGAAAATGATCAGTTGGTTAATTCTCCAAATTGGCAAATTTTGCCTAAAATAAGTAGTTTTGTAGGCACTGGACAAATCTCAGTTTAGTATAATTCTGTCACTGAATAGATCTCAAAGTCTATGTTCTGAATGACAAAACATTACTAGTGTGTGACTAGATCCATTAAAGCTACATTTATAACTATGTTTTTACTGAATTCCTTTCTGAAACATAGGTAATCAGTGATGTGTCACTGTGAACACAATACAACAAAAATAATTACAAAGAAATAAAATCAGATCATGTCTATTTGAAGTCTAAAATCTGGATGTCTTAATATATATTTGGCTTATTAGACTGTATTACTTGATTTTAACAAGGTTTGATTGAAATAAAAAATGCTAAAAATGGAATTACAATTCAGACACACGTGGCAATTATTTGTAATTTAAATGCAGACATGTCTTTCTCCAGATGGAATATATTTGTAAGACAATGGGGTAACAAGGCCCTTGAACCCACATGAATAGATTAGAGAGTTGGTTCTATTAAAATACTTTTTATATTCCTAAATATACAGTATCATGCCATACATACCTCAGGCCTGTGATTCAGAAATCCTTGTATGTCTCTAGAGTACTTTTTTTGTTCTTAATGAGCTACTTGTCTCTCTGCTGTGTTGGGTCATGTAGCCTCCCCATGTGATATATATAGATCTAAATGAAATGGTCCAGCTCAAATGAATGATGGAACAGTGAGGAAGTGCAGGGGTGTCCTGTCACAAACAAAGTTGCAAAGCTTGTCAGAGAAGGGCGAATATCATACAAGGCTGCAAAGTCTTATGAAATGTATCATTGGTATGACCTTGTAAAAATAGTTATCGATATATGTATGACTGGGATTGTTGAGATATGCTTTATAGTATAAGGACCCCCTTCTCACAGTGGTTAAGGCCACCTGGCTGCCATTTAAGGAGGTAAATGACAGCTGACCATTGGTTTGAAGTAGCAATAGCTGGAGATGATCCAGAGCAGCTGTCACTGTGAGAAGTGCCTGGCAGCTTCTGGAACACTGTGAATATCCAAGTCACATCCAAGCCTGCTCCATTTCTTGTTTTCATTTCCCTTTAGACACTTCTAGTAGCTGCTAGCTGCTTCGCTGCCCAACAGTTGTCATGAATCAATTCCGATACATACAAGCCAAGCAATATCCATAAACCTCATCTCTATAGAACTAAAATCAAAGGGACTTGCTGGAAGTGAAAATGTAATTAGCACATTAAAGGTGTAACCAATGACCTGACGGCTCTTAATGTTGAACAACCCAATAGCCCACTAAAAGCACTGTAAGGAAACATACACACTTGTGTGTGTGTGTGACAGTGTGTGTCTGTGTGCGTATATGTGCGAATGTGTGTATTTGAGTGTGTGTGTATATCTTTGTGCCAGTGTGTGCACGTGCCAAAGTGTGTCTAAGTGTGTGTATGTGCCAGTATGTGTATCTATTTGCCAGTTGGTGCGTGTATCTATGTGTGCATGTGCCAGTGTGTGTATATGTGTGTCGGTGTGTGTTTATGTATATATGTGTGTCAGTGTGTATCTGTGTGTGTATGTGCCAGTGTGTATCTGTGTGTCAGTGTTTGTATGTGCCTGTGTGTGTATATTTGTGCCTATGTATCAGTGTGTGTGAATCTATGTGTATCTGTGTGTCAGTGTATCTGTCAGTGTGTGTATCTGTGTGAGTGTGTGTATTTAAGTGTGTGTGTATATCTTTGTGCCAGAGAGTGTATCTGTGTGCGTATGTGCCAGTGTGTACCTGTGTGCCAGTGTGTGTGTATCTTTGTGCCAGTGTTGTGTCAGTGTGTGTGTGTGTGTCAGTGTGTGTATCTGTTTGTGTCAGTGTATCTGTCAGTGTGTGTATCTCAGTGTGTGTGTACGTGCCAGTGTGCATATACGTGTCTGTGCCTATCTGCCAGTGTGTATCTGTGTGTATGTGCCAGTGTTTGTGTCTGTGTCATTGTGTGTATGTGTGTATGTGTCAGTGTGTATATGGCTGTGTGTATATCAGTGTGTTTCTATATGTTTTTCTGCTTGTTAATATGTATGTATATCTGTGTAAGTGTGTATGTGCAAACATCCCAGCAATCAAACACAAACACAACATGCAAACACACCCCTGTAAACACAAACACCCCTGAATTCCAAATTATATGCAAAACCTCAAACAGACCCTACACTCAAGCACCAATAATACACACAAATATACATCGGCATTTAAAATCTAACACTACATCCAAACACACCATTGCACGTAAATGCAAGCATAACATACAAACACATTGCTCTATTAAAATGCTAAAATTATATATAAACACCAACTCCACACAGAGAAGCACACCTACAATCTGCTTGCTATCTGTAGACATTTGCCAAAAAAAGAAAACCTTACGCTATGTTAATTAAAAGGTTTGTGCTATGGCTCAAACATTTTTCAGAGGGTTCCACAATGTTGGTACAGTATGTCAAAGGGTTCCACAGGTAACTTAAGGTAAATTTTAAAATGATGCAGTCAATCCACGTATCAGATATGTTACTAGATATGCTCAGAGAGAATGAACAAAACTAAAACACAATAATAATAAAATAAAAAAAACAATTAGCTGGTCAGTGGTCAAACAATTGGCAAGTACTTCTATACTGTGATATTAGATTGTTATAAAAGATGATGGTTAAGGATAGGAGGAGAGGGAATACGTTATTCCAAGTACAATATAAGTATATCTCATAGGATTGTGAGTGACCTGATACAGTTCCAGAGGAGAACCAAATTGTATATTGACGGGCAGTTTTGACTGTACATAAAAGGAGGAATTTAAAGTGGAAAAAGAACATTGGCATGTTTGAAAAAAATATATATATTTTTAAATACAATTGTTTCTTTATTTATTAAGAGGACCATCCAGTCAATTTTAAATAAGATTGGTTTTGGTAACCAAAAGTTTGGTTAGAAAAAGACCTATGTATTATTTCTTCTCAAGTCTATATCTCCTTTTTTATTCTAAACTATTTGGATCGCTCTGTTTATATTTCCACTATCAGTCTGGTTTCCTCACTCAATCATTATATCATACTGGACGCCAATACAATGAGTAAGTAAGAGCCATCACTTTCCCCAAGCTACAGAGACTGAGAGGGGGAAGGGGAAAGTGCTACAGTAATCCTCTGACTCCCAACAGCCTCAGCCAACAGAAGACACTCTTCTGCACCAAAAAAGCTAGGAAACTAGAGGAAGGCTAAAATGTTGGCCAGCATGTTGTCTGTATTTGTATTATTGTGTCTCTCTGTGTGTCAGTGTTTGTATCTGTGTATCTACATGTATGTCAGTGTGTATCTGTGTGTGTGTGTGTGTGTGTGTGCCAATGTATGTGTATATGTACATACATTTCAGCATCTACACTACATACAAACACACTTCTGTATTAAAACACCAACTCTGTATATAAACACACACCTGCATTCAAAAACCAACACTACCCACAAATGCACATCTGCATTCAAATGTCAACACTACATATATTCCATACAAAAACATGCGCACATTCAAACACACAAACACTGCTCAATGCTTAATATAACCCCGCAAGGATGGACAAATGGTAGTTACCCAGCTGGCAACGTATTGTGGGCGCTGTATGACAGATAGGGATATACCTTTTGCACACTCTTGCGAAGTGGGGGGGCAAAAAAGGTCTTGACTCAGGGCCCTCTCAACTGAAGTTCGGCCACTGGTTGGAGGTGTAACTCTGTCATGGGGCAGCTTCAGCCAGCCAGGTACAAGAGCCAATTCTGAGCAAATTTCGATGTATATTCGCTCATTGTTTGTCAACTGGCGTTTTCTATTCCCTTATGTACATATTTGCATTGACGTGATCTGCTGACCCCAGTCGGGAGGTTAAACTGCTGATACAAATACATTGTGAGCCAGGGGCATATTAGCTTCTTAAAATGTGAGTGGGATAAAAAAACACTATTTTTTCTATTTAAAGAAGTGACTTTACAATATATGTATATATACATATTTAACGGTCACTTTACACTATACATGTCAATTTCTGTTTCTCTTTTGGGCATGTTGCCACCTTGTGGACTTGAAGCAAAATTGCGGCTTTTAAATTACAATATTAAGTAACTATACAGTGTTCTAAATACTACATCATTATTGCACATATCATTATCTGCATAACATATACTGCTAGACCATTCTGTATATCATTGGGTTTGAATGTTGCATTCTTAATGATGCATAGTAGAATAAAAACACAGAACAAAGGGGGCGGGGCTTGACCTGGAGAATGTGCTCCACATTTCAATCAACTAATTTCATTACTTGAAACAACCTTTAAAGAAATCTCACCTCAGACGGAGATCTAATGTTGTCCTGGCGCAACTGGGAGGTATTGCTGGAGCACTCCTGTTATTTGCGTCATCGAAACCCTGACTTCTCTACATTGCGGCCTTGTGTGGATCCGGCCAGGAGTGGTGGCCGACCTCCTCGGCAGGATCCTGCTGGCTGTGAGGTGCGTGCGAGTCCTGTGTCCCCCCCCCTTGGACCGGTGGGGGTTATCCCAGTACCCATCGCTGTTAAGCCCGATACTCACCTATATCCTGACCTGAAGCATTATTCTCTCTTATAAGGCACTGTATATCCTGTAAAGCCTACAAGCTAAAATGGCCTCAGCTGAGCAGCCAATAGCTCTACAAGCTACTGCAACAAGAGCCTTCTATGAGGAGCGACTTGAACAAGCCTTTGAGAGGCAGTGGTCGCGATTCTGGACCATCATGAGCCATGAAGTGGAGAGATATGTGGTGGCACCTTGCCACGACTCGCTTTCTTTAATTCCCCCATGGCATCGCCGATGAGGAGACACAGAAAGAAGGTGCAGCACACAAAACGTAATTGCTGTCTCGGTTCTATGGCTAGCCACCACTTACCTAGGCCGCAGTCCAGAAGGGGAAGCAACCGTAGGCACAGCTCATACCCCTCGGGAGCCACTCTATATGACATGCTGACTTCTGATGGAAGACCCCGAGAGCGTGCTCTGGTTGCAAGACGAGATCGAATCAGTGGGACAAGTGCACTGAACTGTGTTGGTGTCTGGGGCTGGTGGGACATCGCCCTCTGGAACTCTAGTTTCCTAACATGTTGGGGTGGAATGTTCTGCTTGGTGGGCATAGGCTGAGCCCGTATGTCTGAAGTACGGCCCTCCAAGGTTATACTGGGCTATGGTGGTTATTTTATAGTGCTGCAGTGCTTTTTTTCCTTTGATTGTGCTCGGGGATAATTTTAAGTGTTCTATCTGTTCATGCTTCTACTCCGGCAATGGATTTTTTTTACTTATTAATGTAGTCAGCATACAGCAACCTACTCTACAGTTTCTCTGACATTTCAGACCAATTTGCTGTATGTCGTGTTTATCTTTTACCTTTTAAGCCAAACATTACTGCTAAACTGCTTGTTCCTTCAACTGTTAGTACTGTGTAAGTTAATCATCTAAGTATTTCTTTACTTTGCCTATTTGTTTGATTTTGCTAAAAAAAAAGAGGCTTGTTTAATCTTTTTGTGACCTCATGTGAACAGCTAATTACAATCACCCTAAAGTACTATCAAGCCAAGTCAGGTTATTGTTCATCTGATGTAGCATTATTGTTTGTATTGAAATTGTCAGGACTTTAGCAATGTACTGTCTGTTTCATACATGCCTCAAAAAAAAGATTGACCAAAAAAACCACAAAACAACTTATTCCTTTAATCTGTTTATTTTGATAAATTAAAACATGTGGAGAATGGCCGTGAATCTTTATTACGGATTTCACAATTCTAATTTAAACATCAACATCTATAATAATAATAAACCATAACTTTAAACCCCCAAAAAATAAACCATTAACCATTTCCAGGCTCCACCCCTTAAAGCCCTTAACCCCTTAAGGACACATGACATGTGTGACATGTCATGATTCCCTTTTGTTCCAGAAGTTTGGTCCTTAAGGGGTTAAAGGACCACTATAGTGCCAGGAAAACAAACTCGTTTTCATGGCACTATAGTATTAATAGGTCCCCCCTCCCCCTCATGGCCCCCCTCCCGCCAGGCTCTAGGGTGAGGAAGGGGTTAAATCACTTACATTTCTCCAGCGCCGGGCTCCCTCAGCGCTGGGAACGCTCCTCCTCGTTTGGACGTCATCGGTTGATTGCGCATGCGCGGCAAGAGCCGCGCGCGCATTCAGTCAGTCCATAGGAAAGCATGCTCAATGCTTTCCTATGGACGGCAGCATCTTCTCACTGTGAAAATCCCAGTGAGAACCGCAGAAGCGCTTCTAGTGGCTGTCAATGAGACAGCCACTAGAGGCTGGATTAACCCAAATGTAAACATAGCGGTTTCTCTGAAACTGCTATGTTTACAGCAGGCAGGGTTAACCCTAGAGTGGCCTGAAGCTGAAGTGGTCTGGGTGCCTACAGTGGTCCTTTAAACCTACAGGTTGTGGACAGAGGTAGTTGCTAAGCTATGTTAGTGACCTCTGATGCTGTGAATAGATGGAACAAACATGTATTTTATAAAAATTTAAGAAGAAAAAATGTTTTAGTACTAATGTTACGGTGGGGTCATTTTCAACCTTGCTGCTATTTGTTACTGGCCAGCAGCTACTTGCTAAAATTATTGTCTCTAATGGTAGTGCGCATCAACTGTTTTGCAACATGAAAACAGAGGTTTACCAGCTGCCACTCACATAGTACATTATCCACTACTCCCACTAGCGAATGATTGCCACCTGTTTTATAACCTAGTTGTTACGGTGGCGTGGCCTGACTCCCAAGATGGCTGGACATGTTTTTTTAACAACTCCTGTCCAACAAGAGCTTTAAACATGCTTAAACTATCTAAGCTAAACTATCTAAGCTATAGCAAAAAGTCCAGAGTTCGCAAGAGACTGATACTGTACCAAAGGGGTCGTTAATGGTCCTGAAACTAACTGCTGGGGCAAGCAACTTTACCGTCCAGCCATGAGGTCTAATGAGACTGGCGGCTGAGGGCAGTGGCCAATCTCCTGACTGGGGTTGCAAGTTCTAAGTGACTTTTCTTAGCCTGGTAACCCCCCTTTCGACTGGTGGGAAATATCCCTGTACCTACTGGGTAAACTTACCCTTCTACTGAAATGGACTCAATCTCTGCTGATCCTGACACTGCGTGGTGAGTCCAAGATGGACTGCTCACACATTTTTGCCTCGCCTGCTCAAGCTTCGGACAGCTCACAAGTACAATCCTGGGCTATAGAGAGCCAGAGACCGAGAAGGGTCTTACCACACTCACCCTCAACCACAAGACTCTGGCTCAGCCTGCTCTATATCGAACCATGTTTAAACAGCAGCTGAGGGAGAGACCAAGACAGGCGCCTCGCCATGGGAGGACCGGATCCCGGCTTTACCACCACCCACCTGGACCACGATCTGTGTGGGGTTGGCACCCTTCACATGGCTCACAACCTTGGAATACGCATGGAATAGGTTCCTGGCATCCTTCCCTTGTTGCTGGATACAGCTGAAGCTGTTAGTCAAGTGGCATTGATTGAAGAGCAGTCTGGGACTGATGGAGGGATTTGCTAGGGACTTTAGAACTTACCCCTCTCATCTGTGGTGAACCCTGTCAGGGTGGCATTGGCTAACCTACCACATTAAAGCTGGCTACAAGGCCCCCATATCTTATCTTTTGCTTATCTTATTAATCTGTTTGATGTCTCTCTCTATTTATGAGCACCCCGTGGTTTTCTTTTCCAACCATATTTTTCCTAATTGCTGCAGTATGATCTCTTATAAGTCTTGTTATCAACATTCATGTGTCAGTGTGCACTGATTACTCTTGTGAATATAACTTAAAAACTGCTATTTACCATACATAGAGAGGCAATTGCCTTTCTCTATTAATATAGTTTTAACATCAAAAGAAAAAAAAGTGTGCTTAAAACACATTACCGGTAAGTCTTTTTAAAGATGAGCGTAGGACCCCCCCTAAGACGTGACAGGTGTCTTTACACCTAATGGCCACTGGAGTGATATAAAAAACCTCCAGTTATTTAAATATGCATAGGGATTACAAGTAACTTTTTTCTTCAAAATCAGAAAGCAATGAAAAGCCAGAGCGGGGAAAAAGAAATGTTCAAATCTGTGACATCACTTGTGGGCAAGGTAACATCGTTGACCGACTCACTCTAGGGGAATATGTGAATTGTGAATAGATATTTACAGCCTCTCCCACAATACATCTTAACAAAACTGAGCCATTAGTTTCTTAATTAAACCCAACTTGACAGAAATACACGCATTAAAAAACAGTATAACAATACAGAATAGTAATATTTAAAAGGAAAAAAGTGGATAAAGAAAATAGTTACAATCTTGGTTACATGGCTATGTTGGAAGGCCATTTGGCCTGAATTTGTGGGAGGAGTTATGATCCTATATCCTATATAAACCCTACCCCTCCCGCTTACCTTTGTCGTGCAAGCTGTTTGTCTCCATAGTTACCTGCACTTCCGGTCATTGTTCCCGCCAATCCTGCCGCTGACATCTGTGCTCGTCCACCAGCTGCCCCGCTGTATTCCTTACTCGTTACCCGGCGTTCTTGCTTCCGGTCATGGGACCGGCACGCACATGTAAGCATCAACGTGGGAAATAGCGTTTGGCCTAAAGTAGTGAGTGCACATAGTGAGAGTGCCCTAGTGAAATAGTGAAAAAAAAGAGACAGAAAGCCCGACGCGTGTTTCGGTGCTTAGAACATGCACCTTCGTCATGCACCCTGACAAAGGTGCATGTTCTAAGCACCGACACGAGCGTCGGGTTTTCTGTCTCTTTTTTTTCACTATTTCACTAGGGCACTCTCACTATGTGCAGGCAACCAACATCCTAAGTATGGTTCTGCACATTAGCATTATGTAACTTTTTAACCTCTTTTCCAGCCCTAACAATCATTTATAAAGTAACCTTTGTAGGAGATACATTGTTATCAGAGATTGTTTGTTCCTTTCTTTTTATAAAGGATCTCTCACTGGTTACTTACTAACATTATTTGGATATATTTCTCTATAGAGAATCTCTGTTCATATGGCATCTTGTCTAGAATAGTGTTACCATAGAGCTATTCAATATTTATTTGGATTATATATCCTAGAAAAGTCTATCTTTATATTTGGTACACTATTACTATAGAGCTGCCAGGACAAGTGATTAAAAATATTTTTATATATGGTTGTTTCTGTCTCTTTTTTTTCACTATTTCACTAGGGCACTCTCACTATGTGCAGGCAACCAACATCCTAAGTATGGTTCTGCACATTAGCATTATGTAACTTTTTAACCTCTTTTCCAGCCCTAACAATCATTTATAAAGTAACCTTTGTAGGAGATACATTGTTATCAGAGATTGTTTGTTCCTTTCTTTTTATAAAGGATCTCTCACTGGTTACTTACTAACATTATTTGGATATATTTCTCTATAGAGAATCTCTGTTCATATGGCATCTTGTCTAGAATAGTGTTACCATAGAGCTATTCAATATTTATTTGGATTATATATCCTAGAAAAGTCTATCTTTATATTTGGTACACTATTACTATAGAGCTGCCAGGACAAGTGATTAAAAATATTTTTATATATGGTTGTTTCTTCAGGGACTAGGACTGGTATACGTGATATAATTGATATTTATTTATCATTACAAATAGACTGTGACCTATCCAGTTAATAATAAAGTCAGAAGTCTGAGATTTATCAAAGTCACGGTATTATATTCAAGAGGTTTAGCCGAAAGGCGTGGTATTTTGTATTTTTTATTATTATTTCACATTGGATGGCTCTAAGGTTTGGGATGGGTATCTTTTTATTTTACAGTTATTATTATTATCATTGTTATTAAGTTTCTTTTCAGATTGAATTTTGATTATTATATTTCCAGCTTATACCTGAACTGCTGGATTGTAAATTCCAGCGATTCAAGTGTTTTTTTCTTTCTAAAGATGCCTCACCCTCCATGTTACTATTATATTAATGTGTTAAATTTGTTTATCATTTCTACATATCATTACTTAGACCTGCACCATGTCGCAGATTCACTACGCCATCA